GCAGAGGGGCACAAGTCTCAGGATCAACGTGAGCCACTTCCAGCGGGAACTAGTGACACAGGTTTCCTCCATGATGATGGTATTTTCCGCCGTTTCCTTAAAGCGAAATGGTATCCAACTTAACCACTTAGCTAAGGTTAAATATGGGAGCAATGCTTTGAATACAGTCATCTGGAAAATTCGACTTGACTTGTTTGCTGCTAAAGTAAAACTTCAATTGGAACCCAACAATCGGATTATTCAAGTTCCTTTCAAATGCATTAGGAAAATGAAAACTTAACTATTGAAAATATCTGCTGTCCCCATAGGTCTCACAACGCAAAGGTAAAATCATCATCCATCACCTTCCAAAAAGATTATATCCTTGCTTATGAGGAAAATGTGTTATTATTTTAGATTTATTTTAAATCAATAACTTCGATCGAATTATACATTAAAAGACAAAATTACTTTAAATTGCAACTAGAGTATTAAATACAAAAAAATCATATTTATACTAAATAGGTCCGGTATTGTATCTCTTAATAACAACTTGTACGAACAAGATAAAATAATCAACTATTCCAGGTATAAGTATAAAACAAAACTTGTTAGAGATATTAAAAAGTCCCAAGGGTCGAACCCTAAAAACATTTAGGTTAAGATGTGCGACGAGTACTTCCACCTAAATAAAAAAAAAATTAATAGTAATAATATTAAATATTTATATCTCATAAGTGTAATTAATCTTACCGTTTCGGTCCAATCCTTCTTCTCGCTGGCAAAGAAAAGCTCTAAAGTAATTTTTTGAATGGCCCTGAACTGATTTATAGATTTCTGAATAACCAAACAAAGAAGAACAGCTTCTCCCGTGGTTTTTGCTGCAAACAACCACCTCCAAAACGATAAAAATTTCCAATCGACAGTCATGTAATTAGCCACAGCAGTTACTCTATAAAGTTTGCGATACAGGCTTAAAAACAGGTAAACATTGGTCAAGTTCTGAAGTAAAGCGATTACTCTTGAAAGCTCACAAAAAATTGCCAAAAAATTCTTCAATTTTTGATGTGTTTTACTTCCATGTTTCGAACATACCAGGTTTGATGCAAACTCCCTGCACACAAATTTTCGCAGCTCGGCGTACAAAACAGCTATACTAAGGTACCAGAACAAACATCCCCATAGAATTATACTATTTGTAAAGTCAACATAATTAAAGAATGCCCGGAATGGTGATATAGTATAACGGAGTTCATAAGGAAAACCAGGGAATATGAATTCCTGGATTTGACAGCACATCAAGTAAAGAATAAGAAGCAAGTCTCGACCGTCCCAAAATCCGTTTGTTTTCCTTTTGGTCAAAGATCCAACTCGACGAATAACTTGAAGGTACTGGTTACCCAACCTTATTACATCTTGGCCATGGAAAATCTGAAGGTGCATCAGCAAAAAGTAGTTCAGTATCGATGATGCAGGGTTTGCAAAATCCAGAGTTTGTAGGGATTTTGCATTCCTAAATTCGAGCATGTGGAGACATATAGGAACCAGGCGCAGGACAACCGAGAGCCACTTCCACCAAAAACGGTTCCACCAGCACTCCTCCAGGACCAAAGAGTTATCATTCGTATTTTTTAATCGAAAGAAGACGAAACCCACACATCTTGCGTGGAAAAACATTGCGCGCAGAATTACAGCGGACACTTTGGACACACTCAACTTCGGGATTCGGACCATGACTGTTTTAACCTTTAGTTTCACTTGAAATGAATTCGAAATGCAATGGAAACTTAACTCTATATGCGATCTTTGAGTGCTTTGTCACTGACAAGTGACAAATCATCATAACTCAGCTGTCATACAGATACTGCTTACTATGCTTACTATTAGTTTGTCAAACTTGTTTTAGGTAATTAATTTATTTGGGAGCTACAATTTTCCATTCGTTTCCCAGACTTGGATATTTTTCCTGGACCCTCGACATCTTAATAACAAGGCAACACGTTCTTTTGAAGATCACGTTTCTGAAATCTACGAAACCCTCACTCGAAGCTTGCTTTTGCCTTTGATTCACACGCTCACGATCCGAGGCGATGGGATTGGGATGCGATCCTGGCTCTAAGCTCGCTCCTCTAAAAGGCAATGTAAATGACGCCCCCATTTCATGCGCTACGTGATCTTCCCATACAATATCGGGTGCGCAACATCTTCACTGTCCTATCCGAAAACTGGGAACGATTACAGCGCGCAGCGATTTGCGTCCGCATCTCGGGGATCTTTCGAGTCTGTCAAGCAGGGAACCCCCCTCCAGCTGCCCCCACCTACGCCCCTTCCCGCTGGGACTTCGCCTTTGTCCGACATTTGAAAGAATTTTCACGTTGTATGATTTATTTTTTCCCCTCATCTTCTTTATTTTCTGTTCGCTCTGGTCTTTTTTCCTTTTTTTTTTTTTTTTTTTGAGGGCAATTACAGTAACAACGCTTGGGCACGTACATTTTCCGGCATTGTACGAAAATTGTGGGAACAATCAACGAAATAAACAAAAGTGCTTTGCATGCCGTTGATTTGTGCTGCAAATTGCCTCGGACTTGGCCAACTGAAATTGCTGCGGCAACAGCAGTCGGAAAATAAGACAATCTCTTCAAGCCGAAGACCTAAATACCTTTTCTTACTGAATCAGAGGTGACATATGGATATTACTTGATAGAACTTTAAAAACATTTTAAAAATTCCAATTAATACATTAATTACCATTACTCAAAAAATGATATATTACTTGAATGCAATAATTTTTAATTCGTATCACCCCCTTGAAGTAATCTAAAACCCCCTGTTCCTTAAAAGGGTATTGCAAATGATCCAAGTCGAGTGGGGCCAAGAAACGATGCAAAGCCACAAGTTGGTCAGGAGATTAGAGCAGTGGCCGAGGGATCAGCTCCTCTGCTCTCCTCTTTTCCCCTTTGGTGACCTCACGTCTTGCGTGGCCTGCGAAGGAGGGAGCGAAAGGGCTGATTGCAGAGCGAGATGGGTAGAGGGAGAACACAGTAGGGAGCAGGGGCACTCTCTTCAGGGCTGATTGATTTCAATTTCAGCTGCGTCCGCCTGTCAGATGGCCTTGGCTCGCTTTTCACGCTTTTCCAGACATTGCACCCCACTCGACTGCAGCCGCTGACATTAATGGTGATTAATGCGAAAACGGAATGCAATTAAATTCCGCCGTTTGGCTGGGCCATAAATTATTGTGATTTTGCAGCGAACAAAAAAGTAAATTAAAATGTGAAACCAAGAAGGAATAGAACAGAATTTCTTACAATAAAGCGACACCCTGTATTCTTATTTTTTTAATGGCGTTACCGTTAAGGCAAAAATCCAACGACGTCATAAATTTCCTTTTGCAGCTTTGGATTTATTGCATGGCAAATGCAAAAAAGGCCAATTGCGGCCAACGCGACTTTGCCAAGAGTACAAAAACCTCTGCCAAGCTTCCACTCTACCTTTCTCTTTTTCACACACTGATCTTACAATGGAGGTGAAAATATTAACACCTCCCAAATTTGGTTTCCTTAAGATAAGATTAGAGAGATAACACAAGTAAGACTTGGCTGTTGAAAATAGTAAGCAAAAATATTAAAACAATTATTATATAAATATATATGTTATTAAGTTTACTATCATTTTAAATTGGCTCGCTAGGCAGGAGAGATTTATGCATAGAAGACCCCTCACTTTATTGATATCACCTTGGGGGGCTATTATTTCATCCAGAGTTGTACGCCTGGGCTGTGTTGCGTTACGTGAATGCGTGAGTGTGTGTGCTTGTGTGTGTAGTTGCGATGCGAGTGCAGAGCCATTAAAATCTTGAAATTGCATGCTAATAACCGTACCAGGCCGCTAGTTAAGTGGGCAAATATGTTGTACATGCTTGTTACTAAATGCAGAGCATGTAATTTACTTCTCTGGCAGCAGTGCCATTATTATTGCACATTGCATTCTTGATTCGCTCAAGAGAGCAGTACCAAATGCCTGACATTGCAACAACAAAAATAAGGTCTAACGTTAACAAGTATAGTTTTCTAGAATCTATAATTCTACTATACCTATGCAGCAGTGTTTCAAACGCAAGCCTCATAAATATTTATTAAAAATATCTCCGTCTCCATAAACCTTCCTAAAAACAAAAATAATCTTTCAAAAGAAGAGCTTTTATCAAATGCTGCTGTAAGTCCGGAATTCGCATCCGTTAGATTTCGATGATGAAAGAGGGGAAAATGAGGACGTTGGCCAGCATCAATCATCATCAAACGCCCAGCGATCGTTTGTTCGCCGGAAGTCGCAGCCAATCTAATGTTAAGTGCCCACTCCACTCCACCAGCTACATAGATATAACACACATTCGTATAGCACACAAATTACGACTAGAAAGCATTTTCCGAAATTCCCGCGGGCCATGTGTGCCCATTGAAAGGCCCTCGAGTGCCCACAGTGAAGCCTCCCAATCGGTACGGGTGATTAGCGATGAAAGCGAACAGAAGAAAACAACACTAATTGGAAAGGTTCGACTTCCTTTCCACTTCACTTTTTGATTGCATACCAAACCTCTGCATCTAATGAAGATGGAACGGTGAAGTCCCACTAAAACTAACAATGGTGTACACATTTTATTTGAAATGTACGTTAGGTTAAGTGAAAAATTCCTGTAAGAAACACTTTTATTTCAGTCAACTTATTGCAAACTAGAATACAAAAAACCAAAGACCCCTCTCCGTTTTTTTTTTTCCAGGTACCCAAGTTCCATTAAACGCCAGTGCTCACTGTGGGGAAACCATAGTGCGGCCCTTGTCAAATGGAGAAACTGTTGCATCCGCAGCTCGGGGCCCAAAAGCTGAGTCACTCCGTCTATTTATTTTTATCTTTCTCCACTTGTGCGCCCCAACTTTTTTTTACGCTTGAGAATAATCACGCCATCTCGGCCCAAAACGGCCACCAACAAACCAGCCAATGTAGTCAAATAAAAAGCTTTTAAATGTTTTCTTTACATTTGTATTTTTAAGAGTTTTTAGTTTTTTGTTTTTTCGCCCCTCTCCTCGATCGAGAGATTGCTTGCATAGGTTTTACAAAGTTTTAAGGAAATATACACAGTATTTGTTTTTTGTTTTTATGGTTTTTTTTTTCATTTAGCTGCTTGGAGTTTGATTGCACTCCTCACAATATACACAGTTTGGTTGTTCAAAATAGATTTTCAAGGGGTCTTAAGGGGTGAAATAGTTTTGCCATAGATACGAAATATTATACATAGACAGTACATACAATTTAAAATGTCACATCGGTAATGTACCTATAATAAATATGAGTTTAGAGTGTTTTCTCGTGTAAAAGTGTTTGGGTGGGGGTGTGAATGAAAGTGTGTGTGTTTATGTGTGGGCTAAGAAGATTTTTAAATAATTTCAATTATAATTACATTTAGATAAACAAAATAATAAAATTTTTTTAATTTGAGATCATGACACAAAGTAAATTGTAAATACTTTTGGCACACGCGTGCATCAGGAACCGAAAACACGCTGAGAACGCTTGAATTGGTTTGGATTGGGGATAACGGATGCATGGCGCCGATCGCTTTTCTAAAATTAGCATTGCCTAATTACAATTTAATCTACTCCGTAAATCTGCCAGTAACAGTTTAAGTCTTTCGCTTCTTCGCCACAATTTACGTATTGCCAATGTACAATTAATTTCCTTTTACACATAAATATTTTACATACACGTATCTCTATAACTTAATAATTTCCATAATTATATCGATATCGCCATGCATCCGGATGTATTATTATTATTATTTTTGCCTGTTTTTGGCCGTGCACGCGCGCCGATCTTTTTCTGGTTTTCATTTTGTTATTGTTTCTGGTTGGCTGTTTTTTCGCTTTCTCATTTTCATGCAACAACATTTTGGGACCGTCAAGTCTTGGTTAAAACAAACGTACACTCCATGCACAAGAGTGTTTGTGCATGGGCGGTACACAAAAAAAAATAAACAAATTATTTTAGAAATTAAAATTAGGTTTACAATAAATATCATATATTGCAATTGTTGCACCACCAGGGGTCGTCGTCCTCGTCGTTCATCACCAAAGTCACTGCTCCTTATCTTCCAATTCGCTAGTACCATTATCCACATTATTGTTGTTGTTGCTGTAGCTATTCTGGCTGGTGGACTTCAAAACCCCCTTGTTGGCCTTGCGAACGCGGTAAATGCCTGCAATGATAAGAAAAGAGGGCTTATTTTAGTATTGCAACGTAGTGAACAAAAAACTGTGACTAATCACAGGGCCGACTGGGAATGGGGAGAGCAAAAACAAAAGTGCCAGCGTCATTTGGTGACCTTCTGAAGGCAAAAGGGAAAGCAGCGAATCCAATTGCTAGCGCTCTGCCACTGCATACGTGTCAGTAGTGGGTGTGTTTTCTTGGTCAGCTTTCTTATCTCGCTGAATTATGCACACTTGAGCAAACCAGCACACACAGACAGTGCACCTATACCAACTTAGCCAGTACCTTGTCGTTCGCTAGCCGATTAATAAATGTCATGGCCACCGCGATAGCTGCAATCGAAAAAGTGCAGCTTTGGTGGGGCTAGCGGGGTCTGAGACAAAAAACTTGGGTAATCTACAAAACAAACGATCACCTCACGTCGAATGCGTTCCAATTAATAGCTCATCAACCTCGCAATTACAGTCGAGTTATTAAATCTCAGTTTAAAATTCATTTGTAAGCGTTGATTCCTAGTGATATATTTTAAAGAAAAAACTTTTTTATGAAGTAAAGTCTCTCAAGAAATCGATTGTGAAATAAAAGGCAAATTTCACAATTTTAGCAATCATTTTAAAGTGAATATTTTCGTTGTCAAGGCATTTGTGTGTTATTTAGGCCTGACTGTACTCCTATCAAGCCCCGATCGCTAGCAGCTGCGGTTGCCTCATCACGTAAACCGCTAGAGCTTAGACGATCACCAAACCGCAGCCACTGCGCAGTGACCTAAAAGCTGAAAAGCTGTACAACAGCAACAAAAGCGGAGAATACAAAACCAAGAAGCCCCAAGGCTAGCTTAGAAAACCGAATATCCGAGCACACTTTCGATTTGATTTTTTGTTTACTATAGCAAACCGACTATCCAATTTGACTGTATTGTTTAAGATGAGTTTACAACAGCTTAATAAACAGTAACTCTAATTTTTATTAACAAGATCTTATAATACAAGAGACATTTTAGAAATTTAGTAATATTCGGACAAAATATTTTACAAAAATAGTTACATATGTACATACATAGATCTTATTTTGGCAAAGAGGAACGGTAAACGTTACTAATGGAAAACCTTTCTTTGGGGCGTTGCAAAATGGAAGCAAAAACTTGAAAGCCCCCAAGAAAGAGAAGGGAAATCGCTGGCAGCCAAAGAGTCTCGCTGCTGGCGATATAATCAAATGTACAGTTATAGAAAATTATAAGCCAGCGACAAAGAACGTCAAGCGAAACGATCGCAAAGAAGAAGAGGGGAAAACGGCAAAACGATCGCCCATTGTAAGGAGCGGGTGGGTAGAAAGAGGAAGAAAGAAGGTGGGGGGAGTGCGTGTACCGTTATCATTATGAGCACGCAGCTCCAACTAGCTCTCTCCCTTTTCCTTACTATCTCGTTCTCCCTTGCACAACAACAATACGCGTTTTGTTTACGAAATGTGTGTGGAGAAAGAGGCGGCGATGAAAACAGGAACGGCAACAGAGAATTCACATTATAAATATTTATGTGGGAGCCCGCGAGAGAGTTTCTGCATGCATAATTAAAAAACATAAATTTAGAGGGAAATCACACCACATAACTTGCTTTTTGGGGCGTGGCAAAAAATGCCAAGCAAAACAAAAAGCACAAGTTTTTTAAGACCGAATAGAAAATAAGCCATAATTATACTTAAACTGATTTCTTATTAACAATCAAATGACCCTATTTTTAACTTCATAAAACCCTTAACCGCCATAGCAATTTGTTCTATACTTGTCTGATCTCTGGAGTAAAGGTACAGTGGAGTCCAAAACATTGAAAAAATAAGCAAAGCGCGAGAGGGCGAGATAACAGAACTTGTGTCTAATTGATTTGCTGTTTTGCTCCTCTTTTGGACCCGTTTTTCGGACCTGCCACAAAAGTACACAAGACAACAAGACACAACATTTGGCGCTGCTGTACTTACGCGATTTGCGCTTGTTTGTATGCGTGACCTTCACGACGAGTTTTGAAAAACATCAACAACGTGCGTGCGTAGTACTACTACGCATAATAACACAGATACACACTCACACATGCGAAAAGCTTATCAGCGAAGACGACTAAAAATAAACACGAAAATAAGAAATTCGCGCCAAAACGCAAAAAAACATCATCAGCAGGGCAGACAAACAGAGAGAGAGAGAGAGCGAAACCAGCTCTCTCATTTGGAATAGTATATATGTATGAATGTGAGTGGGCTGACGTCGTCGTATAAGAGTGACGCTATTGTTGTTGTTTTCCTCTGGTTGAGATTGCGTATGTCGTCGTGGGTGCGGCTTTTAAAAAAACAACAAGTGGAGAGCCCACCAATACAACAACAAATTCCCCATGTACAGTCGCAGGCGTGTGCCAAGAGTTGATTTTTTGAATTTTGTTTTTTCTTTGCGAAACTGCAGCTAGCAACAACAACAAAATCCAGAAGGCGTTGGCGCTGATTTAAATTTAATTGTGGCCTCTCAATTAATTGGCTTTGCATTTATGGTTTTCCTCTACGCGTTTCAGCTGCAATCTCTTCACAAAAGAAAGATTTTTGGCGCGCGATTGTTATTCAACAGTTTTTATTTTGGCGTACAGTTTGTTGTTTAGCTTTTTCGCTTTGACACACTGCCAAACGAAAGACAAACTGGCGACAGCTCTCTCTTTCTTCTCTCCTCTCTCTCTCCCTCTGTCTCTGTTTGCCACGATATCAGCGGAATATCAGCGCAAAGTAAAGCAGTCATAAATAACAATAAGCCCCAAATTGAAGGTACAGTCGAGCATCTATATATCGAAGTTCCTATCTTTAACTTTTTTTGATCAACAATATTGCAGATACAATTCAAGTTTAGTGGGTGTACTTTTTTACCCACACCAGAGTCTTGAAAAAAAATCTGATGTTTATTCGCCCAAGATACATCTTGAAAATTTAAATAGATTTTTTTCTGAATTTACTTTTTTTCAAATTTTATTGGGATTGAAAATAAGAAGTTTCAAATATTTCACGGAAAATGATAGCATTCCGTTTCAAATTCGGTTTATACAAGATTAACTGTAATGCAAAAAAAAACACTTTTCGAGTTTCTCCTGAAGAGTCAATAACGAAATCGGGGCCTTGACTTGGGGAATTGATAAAGAAGCCAGAGCTCCACAATGAAAGCGAAGTGTGAATAAGGTTCGTAGCGTTTTTGTATCGTAAAGTGGTTAGGAAACAGTCGGGCAAAATGGAACGTCGCAAAATAACAAACGTCTATCAAAACAAAAACCGAAAAACAAGCTTTCGATGCAGAGGAGAGATTCCGAGTTCGTACGAAAAAAGAACGTGAAGTGAATATGAAAGTATGCGCGGGGGATGAGGGGGGAGCCCTGCCAAACAAACCGATAAAAAGGGGCATTAACGGCACTTAAGCCAGTTCAACAACAAACAGCAGAGTGCATTATGTGTGCACAGTTGTTGCAAATATTGATCCGAGCCCTTAGCAGAGTTAAATAACCAAACAAAGGCCAAACTATAAATACAGTACTGTCTGGGCGATTAGATCCACAGATACTAGCGGATTGCATCATTTCAAAAACTTTGTTTTAGATGAAATTTCAAAGAACGTATCACAGAAGTTACATATTTAACATGTTTTTTTTCTTGCATTTTTAGAAGAGATTTTCATTTACTTTTATGTTTGCTTGGAATCAAATCCATAAGATACGCACCAAAATGAATCCAAAGAAGAATTGGAAAAACTAACCAGAAAGGAAAATAGAGGAAAGGACACAAAACGTGACAATAAGAATCAACGCACAAAGGGAGACACGAAATTAGGAAAAATCTGAACATAAGGGTGGTTTTTTTGACCAACGGAAAGAATTATGAGGGTGTTTGTAGCTCAGCAGGGTAAAAGGACGAGCACAAAGCGAGGACGACAAGAGAAAGCAATAACGGAAATATATACAACTATCAGGTGTCTGCTTATTGGACACAGAAAACCGTAGTCCTTACCAAACATAACTAGATTAACTTCAATAAGTCAGGGAAATAATTATTTAATGGAAGTTTTCTGTTTTAAATTTTCGTTTCTATAAATAAGAATTTCGAAATTTTACGAAATAAGAAATCCGTTGCAAATGCAATCCGTTGATGTAGCACTTGAGCATTCCTATTTCGTTTCATTGCCGAATTACCCGGCACACATTTTTGTACAGAACTTCAAGGTGTCTCGTGGGAGAAAAAGCGAAAAAATCATGGGAAAAAACGTACTTTTGAGGCCTTGGGGCTGCGCCGCATATGGCTTTTGGCCGTGTCTCGTGCCGTTGCGATTCTGTAGGATCAGCTGAGCACTGGCGGAGATCTGGGGGGCGGTAAGGGCCGCGCCGCCCGGCACTGGACTGGACTTTGGATGGCACTCGGCATCGGTACTCGGTATCGCCCGTGCAGTCGGGTATCGCATGCCCCTGAGGGCATCCTTCTCCTGGTCGCGATGCTCCTCCTTCTGGATATCGATTCCGTAACGCTCCTTCACGTAGCGTCGCAGGCGGCATTGCTCCTGGGCCAACAGCTGATCGATATCCGTATCCCCGGGATTGCTCCCAAACAGATTGCGCGACACTCTCTTTTTTTCCGTGGCGCTGGGCGGTGGGCGTGGCTCCGAGGGGACTTGCCGAAAGGGCAGAAACATCAGAGGGCATAAATTGGCCATGGTTGCTTTGATTTTCTTTTTCACTTTGAGTATCTTTACTTTTCGATTTGTAGGCAAGTATTCTTGCTTTGTTTTTTCAGCTTTCACTGTTGAACTTTCACACAAACACTGCGCGATATTCACGTACGTATCTCAGGCATATTGCAAGAGTGCAGTTTCAATTGCTTTTCTACCGCTGCGAATTTACGACTTTCACGCGAGAGAGCGAAGTGGAAGTGAATATGGTGTAGAGACAAACCAGACCGCTTGCGTAGACTTTCGAATCGTGAATGAGCCACGAATGAGTGTGCGAGGCGGAATTGAACTCTGGGAACGCAGGGTAGTAGTCTCATCGGGTCCGGCAGTCTCTTACCAATAATGAGTGCGAGAGAAACAGTAATAGAGTCTGTTGTCTTAGCCTTATGCGGTGCATGCGGTTTAAAATGGCCATATGACAGTAGGTAAGAGAGGCACAGAATGTTACCAGACTGAACCTGAACAAAACGATTTTTCCTCAGCTGGAGGCACTTTTTCCCAGCTGGCTAACAGATATTGGAGAACCGAGAGAACCGAGTCCGAGAGAGCGTCCCGAACGTTAAGGGACCAACTTGAACGTTTTGCAACTGCTTAACTTGGCTTTACAGTGGATTCTCTAAAATTTTACGCTCTTTAGAATGCGTGAAATAGTAAGAGGTGGCGCAGCTATAAAGAAGAGAGAAACGGTGACGTCATATATTGGAACTACTATAAATTAGTTTTACTCTCCTGTGATTTTGTATTATTGTTAAAACAGGGGTATATATTTTTGTATAGCCAAACTATCTCTTAAGCCTCAGTTTAAAGTTTGAACTTTTAACTAAAGCGAAGCAAATGGCAACGTCCCGCACGATGGACTTTTATACCCACAAAACAAACGAATGGCACTTAAAGGAAAAAAAACATTTGTTATAATATTTTATTTTAAGTTATTCTGTGCCCAAGCAATTTTGATTTACATACCGTCAATAGGTATTTTGAGGTGGCAACATTTCCAAAGTTGTGTAAATTAAGTTAGTCATTAAAAAACACTGTGACATTGCGAATTTAAAGTAGTGTATTAAATATTTGAATATCTCAATGACCTCATAGTTCGTAGCAGAACCTGCCTAAGAGTAGGACCCACTAAGCGGCACCTTCTAAATTTCCCCTTCGCGCTAAGAGCGCCTACTAATTACGAAGAGTAGTACCCGTTCCCCTGAGAGATCTCTACAGTTCAGAATAATGGATTTCCCCTTTTATGGTAAATACTAGACGTACGATATTGAGTATTTACATGTAACAACTACGGAAAGTGAATCTGTTTTTTGTGTGCCAATTATAGGCCGTGCAAATACAATTAGTTATGCTAGACTCCCGTCTCCCGGCTTGTTTTTGTTTGGCTCACACAAACACCGAGCTAAATGCTAACTAACTGATATGTTAGCGCGTTTTGGGCCCTAACTCAAGGTCAGAACTGGCTTCATGCGGCATTAAACGACCTAATTGGACCGACGTGCCTAGGAACAAATTGCTTGCGACTGGGGAAAAAATTCACGGGAACAATCTGTAAAATGGTGAAACAAATTATGGATAGAAAAAAAAAACACTTTCGCGCTCGCGGCGCTTGTTCGAGCGGAACTTGGGCCAACGAAAGTGAAAAGAGTTGAAAAACCGCATAGAAATAGAGGTAGGAGTTGGCCACGCAACGCAACACTCGCAACGACTCGACTCGTATCAATGTGGGCCACCAGCCATTCCGATTTCAATACTGCTGAGTCAGCCGAGATCGGGTTCCGGCACTGGAACAGCTGGCGGTGTTTAGCCTTTGGACTGGGATCGACTGGGATCCTCAGGACCATTTCGACTGGCTCTTTGACCGCCGGACCGATTAGTCATTTTAAAGAGTGCCTCGCACAAAGGCCGCGCCCAAAGGATTGCGATTTATTATTGTTTTAAAGAGTACAGTGGGTCCTCGTAAATGGGATAAAAAAGGTTGCTCTCTGAAACTAGTTTTAAAACATATATATTTTGTTATCACCATTTTCTTCACTTGTTTTATATTCTATTATAATGGCATTCAATCCCAGAATCCCAATTCATCAGCGATCACTGTACTCAGATGATGATTGTTTCCCCTCTTATTCTTTTCTTTTTTTTGGCGCGATGTCCAAATTCGGATTGGCAACTACCTGCTTGAGAGGAGATCAGGGGTCGAGGGTTGCGAGCCTCGCTCTGACTGAATGGGATCGGGTGGATCGGTGGCACAGGTCGGAGTGGTGCCAGTCAACCAGTAACCCTATGCAAAAACCAACCCTCGCGCCAAAAAATCAGCTCAAAACCAGGCACTTCAAGGGGGAGAACAATGCAGTGGAAATGTGTGAAAGTTGCACAGATCGCAATCCCCTCAAAATGCGATTTTTCCTCAAAATTCCCCACCCTCCTTCGAGGCCCAGTTGCTGCGTCATTTCTCTGAAATGCGATTCAGCTTTAATTGTTGTGATTTCGTGGCTGTGTTGATTTTCCACTGGGCATTATTTGAATGCATGTCAGGGATCCGGATCCGAGTCTGTGTGCCAGTGTATATTTTTATCTTCTAGATGTTTTTCTGGGTACGTGTCTGGGTCTACTGATGGGCTACTTTTCCGCACTCACACTCGCACTTCCGCCGAACGCAGCTTGTCTGCGGAAAACTCAAGCTGTTTTCCCCGGCTAGCAGATATTAGTTTATGGCCCACGTACCAAGTAAGCCGAAGAATGAAAAGAACGCCACTGATCAATGGAACTGTCGCACGCGCGACTCATGAGGTTAACTGCTGTTTTAGTGCCGAAACCCCGGAGGGAGTTCGAGATACAGATACACAGAGGTCTTCTGTCTGGTCTGGAGTCACGTTTGTCTAATTAATAAATGAGCTCATTAAGAGCCCAGTGCCCCGACGTTCCCGTCCCTGCTTTCTCCTTCCGCCGTCAGCTGTTTTCGCTTTGTGCAATGTGGATTTTTGTCTGGCTGCGCGTGGCAACCACAACTGCAGCTACGCCCGGGTGAAAAGTGTCTAGCGGATACTCTGCACAGGGAAAAAATTTGCAAATACTATGCATCCATACATAACCATTTCATACACAAACAATTTTGAATATTTTACTCATTATTGATCATAGTTAGCACATATAAAGTGTGTAATAGAATTTAAATAAAATCATGACTAATGTTCTTCAATTACGGGGGTGTCGTATTTACGAAATTAATTTTATTTGCAAGCAAAAGAATGTTTGTTTATGGTGTTTGTTTTGTTTACACTAAGAAGAAACTTAATCCTAATAAAGAAAGCTAATAAGGGAAGATTGTTTGATTTACACAGTGTTTTTTTCTGTGTGTCGTCGTCAGCTATTTTTAGTGCTCGGATGCGTTTTGAGAGGGTGGTGATATCGCGCAGGGATTCAAACGAAAAGTGGGGGTTTTGGCCTGGGGGAGGACCGATCTCCCTCGTTTCTGGCTTGCCGCACTCACATACATAGATGGAACCTGCCTCGCTGCAGTTGGTTACCATTTTGCGTTCTCATTTTTTGAGGCATCTGTAAATTTTGCGCCAATTTATGCGGCTGCTGCTGCTGCTGTGGATGTTTCCATATGGACGTGGCTATGTGGTTGCGACTGCCCTCATCATCAGCGGAGGCACACGGATACGAGTGCGACGAATTCGAGTGCGAATACCTGCTGCTGGTAATTTTGAGCACACATTTTTTGCGCCAAAACCAAAACCTGAATCTGAAACACAGCCCGGTGCAATCGCCCTCTCCCTTCCCCTTCCACCCTCCGCTCTTGCTGTCTCGCTCGCTCTCTTCCCGTTTCCGCACTCGAAATACATCCCCATTTGCACGGCGGAAAAAATCAGGTGGCTTTACAGGGTGTTCTATGCCAAGTATCTATGAAATACATATGTGCAAATGTCTACATTACTTAAAATTAACGAGTATCCTATCCTTTTATCAGAAGTTTACTTAAACAATTCAATCTTAGAAAAAATAAAAGTTATTAAATTGTACATACAATGCCACAATGGCATTCTTTTTTTCATATAATAATAATAATTTTTTCATAAACAAACCAAGTGTTTCTCGCAGTGCACATCCACATCCTCACACGCGCTCGCATATCTCGTTGAGCTGCTCAAGCTGGAACAAGTGCTTTGCTTTTTCCTTTCTCCCGCCCGTCCAGCGTCTCGGTTTCCCCTTTCTGGTTTTGTTTTTTTGAGCAGCAGCCGGGGAATCGGAGAATCGAGACGAAGACGGAGCCGGCTCAAAGAATTCTCGTTTTGAGCCGCCAAAAGTAACATCTGCTCCCCAAAAAGCATAGACAGCCCAGGAATTGTCGTTGTCCGCTTTGGGTTTCTTACTTTTTTTTCTCTTACTTTTGGCTTTTATTATGGCCTTGCCCAAAACAAAAACACGTAAAACGAAGCGGGGAAAAGGGTTGAGCAATGCGGTTTTGCGCAGGGGACTCGGGATTAAATCAGGAACTTTCGGAGGGGCGATAAATGCGTATCAATTGGACACTCGAGAGATAGAATTACACGTTCCCGTTCCCGTTTGTAGAGGTTTGTAATTAAGGCCGGGTTTTGATTGCTTCCATTGTTCAATGTTGTAATTTCCACAATTCAGTTTGCTTACTTAAAGAAGGAACTTTTCCGGTTTAGAAAGGGATGTCTTCTTATATCTGTATTGATCAATTACTTGTGTATACTATATTTCTCTGATTAAGAATACAAGACTTACATTTCATTTCATTTTCATTTGTTTTTCCTTCAATGAGTCATTTTTAGTAATATACCTTTTATGGGGAACATTACGAATCTATTATGCAATTTCCCTTCTTGATAGCAGCCTTTGTGATTCAGATTCTTTCTTTCCTTATGAAATTCAGCAACCTACGACATTTCCCCTTGTGGAATGGATAGCTGCCTGTTGCCCCTAACTCGGGTCGCCGAGTGCTAATTTGCTTCATTTATCTTTCCTGGCTTCGGACGGACAACTTGCCCTTCTCCCGACTTCTCGACTGCCGGTTGCCAATAAGCACTACAATTACTCTACGTGACTCTCGGGCGCCTAATTGCACCCAGCAGATTGGTTCGGTTTCTGGTTCTTGTTCTCGTTCTGGGTTTTCTCTCAGTCGTTTGTTTTTTTTTTTTGATCTGCAAGTTGTCTGTCTGCTGGCCCATAAATCTCACGCGCCTCCGATTGCAGCAGAGTGTCCAGTTCTAAGCGCTGGACACACTAGATAACACTCCCGGAGCAATTGGGTAGGCTTCCCTGTGAGCAAGTAGAAGATCTCGGGTTTTGGAGAGGTGTCCCTCCCCTCGCTTTCGCCCAGCTGTCGGCGATCGTGTGACTGGGGAACGGGAAAGCTAATGCCTTGACCACCGCTGACCGAGATCATAATTCAGCCGCCGAGGGGATGGGGGGAAGGTGGAAAACCAAGACAAATCGCATGTGTAAGTCGCCCCTGAAGTGGGTCGTGGGCATAAATCAAATCGGTGGGTCACTCTGGCCATGCCTCGGTGGGCTGTTGCATGCAACACGCCAGCTGTAGTGTAAGTTGTAAGTCGCTAGTGGTTGACCCACTTGCGGAGTCTTATTTGCCGGGTGTGGTCGCGATCTCGGCCCGTTACATTTCACACCCAAACTGGTTGAGAATGCGAAAACTAGCGACAATTGCCGCTGCCAACAAAATCAAGAGGGGGGTTGCACAGAGAGAAAATAACATAAAACATAGAATTATATATGTAGAGTGTGCTTAAATAATTTATTAATTGAATGAAATCATTGCTCTTGTTTTACAGACACTTCTAAAATACATTCCCCTATTATTACGACATTAAAATAAACTGAGAAAACTTTATTTTCCCGGTGCAGTCGCTTGGAAAATGCACAAACAATAGCGAGCATTCAAGACCCGCCACCATAATAATTGATCGCTGCGGCGAGCAACTTTCCAACTGGTTTTCTTTCTAATGCAAAGCACTATCAAAGATTTTTCCTCAATTTCCCACCAGTTTTATCCAGTTTTATTGCCCTCGTCCGCCATTGTCTGAGATTTCCTCTCATTCGGTTTTGAATTTTTTATTATTACTTTCCACGGACAAAAGAGTTTTGTGAGCCGAAAGTTTTCCTTTCCCCCCGACTCGAGGGTTTTGGATGAATTATGAGCCAGGGAGTGGTGACCTCGGCAGGCTTCTTCCAGTTGGTGGTTGCTGGTTGCTGGTTGTTCGGTGGCTTCATTTCATATGCATTCCGGTGGGGCGGGGCAGAGTGAATGGACTCTATTAATGGGTAATGTGATCTGCGGCGCATGGAAAATCAAACGAGCTGGTCAGTTCTCGCTCCGCCTGTCGTAACGCCTGATGTTGATGTATCTTTGCATCTGTATCTCTGTAATTGTGTGTCTCGCTGCGCTAAGCCGACAGCATCTGGCCAAACCAACGGATGGGGCAAACTATTTCTGGCACACTGCATATCGTGTTTAATTTAGTTGATTCCAGGCGGTTCAGGAGGTTCACTGCAGTGTTTGTCAGCTGCCCAAATATTTCGCCCTCCACTGTCAAACATCCCGCATTTCATCACCCACTATTGCACAACATAAAATATCTTATATATAATAGATCTTTTATAAAAATGAAATACATTGATTATAAATTTCGATCAAGGTTTGTCTGGTTTCGTTGATACTTTGAAACTTGTTTGGTTCGCTTGAAGGGAATTTTTTGTGCGTCATCAGACTTAGACTCCTTCCCTCGATTCGCTCGTGTCTTGGCCCTTTTGTCTGTCAGCGGCGTTTTGTTTATTTTTATCTGGTGCTATTTCAGTCGGTTTTCCTCCTGCATTTCCATTAATTTTGTGCGCGGCTGCGCGTTTTATTTGGTTTGCTTCGGTTTGCAAGCCAGGCGACTGACTACGGTGAAACATAAATAAATATTTACCACACCCGTACCCGTACTCGAATTCGTATCCGTGCATATCATCTCTGGCTGCGATCGCGGCTGGCTTCCTGTCTTCTGTCTAAATAATTGCGCATCCAGCAAACGCCAACAGATGGAAATGGAAAATGGAAATGCACACAGGGCGATAAAATCCAGAAATAAGTACTGCAGGGGGAGGGGGATAATGCGTTTTGGCTAGATGTCGGAATTTGAACTACATATAAAAAAGTTATTTTTAAAACACATTCTTCAAAATGTATTTAGACCTTCGTCGCCGAAGGTTGCAACCAAACCCGTCACGCAATTCTATGCAATTCCACATTTGTTTACAACATGAAATTATTTATAGAAATGCTTCGACTGTTTATTTGCCAAGGCGATCTTGCTCATATACTTTAGTCACAAAACTGACTAATAAGTTTCAAAAAACTTGTAAACCAGTTATCAGAGACCATTGGCCACCAACAAAGAGCTATAGACTATTAACGATTTCCGAATTAAATTAAAAGCCTTGTACAGTGACGAACATAATTATTGGCACAGTTGGCTTGTTCAACTTTGAGGCTCAGTTTCTCCTCTTAAAATGGGGATATTTACATAAAACAAAATTTATTCACATAATATAATTAATTAACAACACAACCCAGTTTTTTTTAATATTTTACATCTTATAGTTAATTTTTAAAATTAAAATAACGAAAACAAGTGCCGAATCTTCCTGAACAAAATTATTGGCACACTTGCTTTTAATTTGAAATTTTGGCACAATTTTACCGATTTGGCCAGTTTTTTTTTTATAAACACATTTATTATTATCCCCTGAGTGGTATGGAATAACTTTTTCCAGCTAAAAGTATCAAATTGCCTTTTTTTAAACCTTTTTTTCATAAAATAAGGGGTAAACATAAAAACTCTACATTTTCGGACCGGAAAATTATTTGAAATTTCCACAATCTTGGAAAATTATATGGTGAGATCGGAGAAATGATAGACAGAAGCCACTAAACCATTACAAGCATCGGGCAGCGTTTTAAGGGCGCCTAATCCTTGAAAAGTGATCAGCGCACAGGTTGACTCAAGGCTTTAGCGACCTTTTGGGCACTTTTTTGGAGGGTTCCTTCAAGAATATCGAAATATTATTTTTTCCCATGATTCCTTCTATAAACTCGAACTCGTCGACACCTGCAGTGGACTTGCAGCCCCACACCATGACACCTCTAACACCATGCTTAACTGACATAGCAGGGTTTTTGTTTAGGAGTTTTATATGAGGCTTTTTTCAAACAGATTGGCGACCGTCAGATTAGAAAATATATAATTTTTTTTTGTCAGAAAAGATGATATTAGCCCAACAATCAACTGGCTACTTCAAATTCTCTTTTGCATAGTCCAATCGCTTCTGTTTGTTGACTTTAGAAATAAGCTGTTTCCTTCTTGCGACCCGATACGTATAGTTAGGTCTATGCAGTGTCCTCTGAACCGTAATGGGGAGAAATTTTTTCAAAAACTGTTCTTTCACCCCATCTCCAATCTTTGTTAATTAAATTTTCGGGTTTACTTTCACTTGTTCTATGATTTTGGCCCGCTTCCAGTCACTTAAAGCCTTGAGTCAACCTGTGCGCTGATCACTTTTCAAGGATTAGGCGCCCTTAAAACGCTGCCCGATGCTTGTAATGGTTTAGTGGCTTCTGTCTATCATTTCTCCGATCTCACCATATAATTTTCCAAGATTGTGGAAATTTCAAATAATTTTCCGGTCCGAAAATGTAGAGTTTTTATGTTTACCCCTTATTTTATGAAAAAAAGGTTTAAAAAAAGGCAATTTGATACTTTTAGCTGGAAAAAGTTATTCCATACCACTCAGGGGATAATAATAAATGTGTTTATAAAAAAAAACTGGCCAAATCGGTAAAATTGTGCCAAAATTTCAAATTAAAAGCAAGTGTGCCAATAATTTTGTTCAGGAAGATTCGGCACTTGTTTTCGTTATTTTAATTTTAAAAATTAACTATAAAATGTAAAATATTAAAAAAACTGGGTTGTGTTGTTAATTAATTATATTATGTGAATAAATTTTGTTTTATGTAAATATCCCCATTTTAAGAGGAGAAACTGAGCCTCAAAGTTGAACAAGCCAACTGTGCCAATAATTATGTTCGTCACTGTATGTAAGTTTTCCGTGCCATATAAGATCGTATTACACAGCTGCCTTTTTACAAATGTTCACAAATTGCCTGGTGTTGCTCTGGATTATTAATAGAAATGCCAAAAATTTTCAATTAACAAAACCATTATGCAACCCATTGAGTTGGTTCCGAGTTCGATGTTTGCCCTAGTTACTAGACATATGGCCAATCATATGAACATTTATAAATAACAAATAGTGAAATTATCATGAATATAGAAGGCATCATCTATGTTGGATGATTTATGCTACGTTGTACCAATCAAAAAGTATAATTGTAGTACAATCACAATAGAAATTATCGCATTTCTGACCAAAATCCCTGATTTCGCAAATCCTTAAGAACACGAGCCAAGAAACCCGATTTAGGGTAAATTGCCTTTTAATCAGTGGGTTCGATTTCCGCTGGCATAATAAACATTAATGATTTCCTGGTCCTCTCACCAACAATATAGATTCCTCAAAAATATTAGCAGCTGATCCGTTGACGTTTTCCCAATTATGCGGGCTCTTGTCATTGGTTTTCGTCATATTGCGAGTGTTTTTTTTTAACCCCCAAAATTTGATGTGCTCATGGATCGATTATGGGGGCGGTCGGCCCATTAAACATCAATTGTGTGAGTATTAAGACAAATTAACTATATATTAGTGTAAATCCTGTGAACAGATGCTACTGATATTCAACTCTGAATAAGATACTTATGTATATTATTAAATACAGAAATACTGTTATTCTTGTCAATTAAACGAAATGAGACTCTTAAATAGACACCAATGAGTTATGCGTATTTTGTTTAAGTTAAACTAATATTACTTAAAATTCACTTATAGTTTCAACTTTCTGTTCAGCAATTTCATCCCTCTATGAAATTCAAATAGTTAACAGAGTTGAGTCAACAGTGCGCCTAACAGCACGTGACTGTTCACCTTAAAGCTAACAGCACAGACGTGTCGTAACAACGTTATAGGACTACGTAGCGTAAACAGCTGTTTTCCATTGTTTTGATTCGTTTTCTTTAGATAAACTATTTCGGTTAATAGATTTATTTTGTAATCGCAAAAATGAGACGCCGGGTGGGCCTGGGAGCTATTCAGCAGCAGAAACTGGCTGCGGAGAAGTACAAGGACAAGGGAACCGACCTGCAGGAAAACCAACTCGAGCAAATGACCAAACAAATGGAGGTTTTCCGGGTGAAGCTCGAGGAGTTTGCAATGAAACACAAGGAGGATATTCGCAAGAACTCTCAATTTCGGAAGCAGTTCCAGGAAATGTGCGCCGCCATTGGAGTTGACCCTTTGGCCACCGGCAAGGGATTTTGGAGCGTTCTGGGAATGGGAGACTTCTACTATGAACTGGGTGTCCAGGTGGTCGAGGTCTGCCTGGCTGCCAATCACAAAACGGGTGGACTGATGGAACTTGATGAGCTGCGAAGACGACTCATAGCGGCCAGGGGTCAGAGTTCAGTGCACCAGGAGATAACCAGGGAGGATATCCTCATGGCCGCCAAAAAACTAAGCATATTCGGAAATGGGTAACGGTCTTTGGTGGTTTCCATATAAGTGATCCAGTACTGGCCTTCCCCAGCCTATATCTTTGGCAATGTTGATCAGATTTTAAAGTGGCATACCTCTTAACGTTTGCAATGTAACTCTTAAAATAATTGCAATTAAATTTTTCAATTCGGAGATGGTCAACATACTTACATACTTACACCGCTAAAGGGACGAGATTATCCTTTCTTGTTTAAATTAAAAAAAAAATAGTTACATGTACAAATATTTTTTGTTTTATGTCGATATAAACAAATAATATAAGTACTTTTCTTTCAGTTTTGTGGTGCACAAACTGGGCAAGGGCAAGTACATAGTTCAGTCGATTCCTGGCGAGCTGAGCATGGAGGAGACCAACATTTTGAATGCTGCTTCGAATACTGAACAAGGATGCGTTACGCAAAGTCAGCTGATTAAGGACTTGGGGTATTTGCTTATTTAAAAATTGCATTTAAGTGCTTAAACAGATTTTGTTTCATCCTAGGTGGACTGAGTACCGTGCCCAACAATCACTGGACAAGGTGCTCGGCGAAGGCCTCTGCTGGATTGACAAGCAGGCGGAGGACGAGCCCTCCTATTGGTTCCCCAGCTTGTTTCCCGGTCGCAATGCTCAGACCACGTCCGCCTTGTAGTGCTCCCATAAAAGTAATTTAATGTGTATAATAGTAATCATAAAATATATCTTTGTACAACCGTAAAAGCGCGATTAGAGGTGGAGTGGCTGCTTGGAGCTGTCGCCGGCGGCACCGTTCTTCAGCACTTGATTTTCCGCCAGCAGCTCGGAGTTCTCCTTGCTCAGCTGGTAAATTACCGACTCGAAGCGCTGCGTAATGTCGTCCATGTAGGAGTGGTATTTGGCCTTAATCTGCTTGTGGGCCATAAGGCAGCGCTCCATTTCGCTTTCGTAGTGCTTCTTCCTGAAAGGGAGAAACATGGGAAAGACCAGTATAAATCTTATATTCACTTCGGGTATCAAATAATTTCTTTTTGTCAACTTACAGCTTGTTTTCCTGAGCGTCTTCACCTTGAACTTCGTTCAGGGATCGCTCCAGTTCGCTGATTCGCTTGCAGGCGATCTCCACTTCGGCCTCCAGCTTATCATTTTGTTTGAGCACCTCCTTGTATTTTTGCTCCAAACGGTTGTTTCTCGTCTCCAGAAGATGAACCACCGACTTGTGTTCGGTTGACTCCTTCTTAAGCTGCAAAGAATTGGGATTTATTGGGGTTGGTTGGATTTTGCGAATAGATCACCTTCTCCTTGATCGATGTTATTAAATTGTCCTTCTGCCGGAGCTTGCTCTTCAGCTGAGCCACCTCGGAGTCGACGCGCTTGGACGCGTCTTCCATGATGCTGCCAATGTTGTTGGCCAGCTGGGTGATCTCCTCCTTGTAAGCCTCGGCCACCCTCTTGGCCTCCATTTTCTCCCGGGTGGCCTCTTCGCTGACGGTGATGGCCTCCTCGACCTTCCGCATGGCGGTGCTCTCCCGCCTCGTGCTCTCCAGCAGCAAGTTGCGGGTCTGGTCCAGCGATATTTCGTACTCCTTCAGCTGCTTCTGCAGCCTGGCCACCTGGGAGTGGTCCTGCTCCTGGCGACCCAGCTGGGCGTGCAGCTGCTGCAGTTGCTCCCCGTCCCGCTGCTTGTGCTCGTGCAGCACCTTAATGGTCTCCGCCTGCGTGCGAATCTCCTCCTGCTGAGCAGCCACCTTGGCCTCCAGCATTTTCACAGCCCTCGTGTAACGCTGAATGATCTAAAATACGATTCCGGAAGAGGTAAAAAAAATGTTAGAATTTAGTTCGTTGGTTAAACATTATCACAGAAAAGTCAGAGTTTACTGCATTACGAACTTAAGTAACCGAATATATAGAATACCTGCTCATCGCCTGACTGTTGCAGCTGGACGCGATAGTTCTTCAGCTCTAGTTCCATGTTCTCGATGGTCCTTTTGGAGCAGTCCTGCATGGCCTGCAGGCTCTTCCTGTCCTTGAGCAGCACCTCCACCTGCTTCTTGGCCGCGTCCAATGCGCTGTTGGTCAGGGAGAGCCGCTGCTTGAGTTCCTGGAAGTCTCCACTTGAGAGCGCCATCCTGCACTTGGCCAACTCACTGTTCAGGCGACGATTCTCGTCCAGAACCGAATTGACCTGGACCCGCAGATTGGCCTGCCCCTGGTTGGTGTCCTGCACCAGTCGCTCCATTCCTTCGGCCACTTCCTGCACACTGTGGCTATATGGGTTATGTGGTTTAAAGTAGTAGCTCTAGACTTATTCAATATATAGCCTGTAGCCCACCTGAGAAACGCCTGCTTGTTTTCCTGTTGTGTCATTTTGGTTTGCTAATAGTCGTTTGTGTGGCTTTAAGGATATTTTTACTGGAATCAAGTACGCTTTGAAGCAAGTGATAAGCCACTAAAATCCGATCTTAGCTGGTTAACTCTTTTTACAAATATTTGAAGCATTGCTTGTGAATTCAGCTGTATCCCCTTGCGGTTGGAAAATCACTCTGTTCCTATACTTCTATGCCACTGGCAGACTTCTGCTGTCCGCTGTCAATCCGCGATAGATTGCCACCCTTCAAGCAGGTATTACCCGTAGCAAAAACCAGGCACGAGTCCTGCCACGGCCGCTGACCCCGCGACAAGTGTCGGTTGTCCTGGGCAACGGGGCAGCCAAAACAATTGAAGAAGTTATCGGAAAATGGTCAACCTTTCATTTCAGTCGCTCGCCATGCCGCTGTTCAACAAGAAGTTCGAATCGAAGCCGATTCCCGTGCGGCAGGGTCGGTGCAACATCGGACATCCCGTGGCCACCGAGGAGCTGGACGACTTCCGCCAGATCTCCCTGACCCTGGGCAACAAGGAGCTTCGCTTCGCGGACGGCATCTGGATGCACTCCTCCCGCAAGGGCGATGTCGATGATATGCTCAGGCTGAACAAGAAGTTCCGGGCCCTCGAGGAGGAGAACAACATGTGCAACCTGAAGATCGAGGTGATGCTGGATCTGCTGGCGGAACACGCCACCGAACTCAACGAACTGAAGCCCAAGGAGAAGTGATCCCCTCAAAAATAATTTTAAATATAATAAAATAATGGTTTGCTTTCTAGAACTTTAAAATTTTTATTTATTTTGTTGGAATTTATAAAATACAATTTAAAACATGATAATTTCAATTAAAATCTTCGACTGAATGGTACCGAATGGTACTGAACAGTACTTCTCCAATCTCTAAAATGCTAAAATACTATGGCTGATGAGTGCTTGAACTAATCGCTGAGTTGTTTTCCTGTTTCTTCTGATTGTCTGCCAAAAGATCGGAATGGACCTTTCTAAGGCGGGAGTACTCGGCATCGAACTTCCGCATGAGATTGTCCATGTCCTTCTTAAAGCTGGCCATCATTTTTTCCTGCACCGCTTGAAATACTTTCACTTGGCTCTTGTGGCGTTTTTTCCTGAAGAAGAAATATATTAAAGGTTAAGCGTGTTAAATTTGTTTTGCTTTACAGTTCTGCTTGATGTTCCTCCAAAATGACGTTGGGTTCATTAATTGATCGCTCCGCCTCGGCCTCAAGTTTTTCATCCCGCTTGAGAGCTTCTTTGTATTTTTGTCTCAAGCGATGCTTCTCAATCTTGGGATCTTTTTTTTCTACATTGGGAACCATATTCTGAAGATTTGTTGTTAAAAGAGCTGCTACATAAGGATAGCTTTTAAGTTACCTGCTCACTCATGGATAAAATAAAGTCATCGCTCTGGTCAAGTTCTTTATTCAATTGTTCCATTTTTAAGTCTACTGCTTTCGTAGTCTCATCAAGGATACTGTCGAAGGGATTCATTCCAGAATGAGGAGCCACATTATAAAGGCTTTCATCCCTACTCCCTATTTCACCTTGGTTGTTTTTCATTATCGCTTCTCTTGTGTCCTGATCGGCTAACTAACTGCTTTAGGAGATTCCTAGATAGAACTTGGTGCTGATGCCAAAAATGCTATGAATTTACACAGATTAGATTGAGAAATGTAAACAAAATTACTAAGTGAACTCGATTTCATTTTAAAAATGCGAAATATATCATTTGTACAAATTGGTTTAAAAACAAGAAAGGAAGCTGGTTTATCCAATTTTTCCATATTTTAAATGATTTTGGTGTGTTGTTGGACAAGAAATGACTTACAGCCGAACATAGTATAGTATAATAAATAGAAAATGCGTTTAATTGCATTGTTTACAATGATCCAAGTGCTTAGATGACATTCGAAGTGGTTAGTATATCCCACTAGGGAATTAACTCGAATAAACGGGCTCAAGGAAAATCAAATCGAGGGGCGTTGTTTGTTTATCGTAAATACCATAAATATAGTTTGACCCAAAGTTACCTAATTTCGATTAAGACCCAACCACCTACTTGAGATCTATTTATAATGCCACATTAATCAGTTTCACATGCCCATCGGCGGAGTTATCAGGGGCTGCGGATGGGGGGCTTGTGTTGACCAGCCCATCGGGTATTAATTTGGATTTGTTGCGCGAGCAGTGGAGCTGGTCAAATTGGTGGCATTGTTGTCGCCATCGGCGGCAATCTATAGACGCCATCAGCGGTATCGCGGAGGTCCGCCGACGACGAGCTGCCGCTGGCTCCCGCTTCGTTTATAGGCCGCTTGATAAGCGGTAAACCGATACAGCGGGCCAATCAATCGCCCCGTGATAAAACCGCCGATGAGCCGCAGAAGAGCTGTTCAAACAGCGCTAGGAATTTACATGACCTCCTCCGCTGCTCCGCTCCTCCAGCACTCCAGCACTCCGGTATCCGTACTGCCACTCGTATCTCCCTTCAGGGGTTAGACAAATTTTCGGATCGCCCGATAAAGCTTAGCCACGCCGCAATGCGGTCTAATCTTCTGTGGGAAGAAGGGGGGTGGTCGGGTGCTTTCGGCGGATATGTACACAGGCGACGGCTACCTAGGCCCCATATCGGTCCACTCCATCGACTACTGTATATTTACGCACCGATATTGATATGCGATAAGCAAAACTGCTTATAAAACACATTTATTTTGTTGTTCCCAGCAATGCCAGCACCTACAGCAAATAGGCACTGCGAGAAATCAGGGTAAAAAGTATATAGGAAAGAGTGATTTTTTAGATGTATTTATAAACCACTTTCGAACTGTATCTAAAATAAATTTAAACAAATTCAAAGCAATTTCAAGGTTGTTTTTCAGGGTTCTTTTTGTTTTATATGTGTTTGTTTTTTTTTTGTTAAATATATGTATTTAAAAGTGTTTGTCCCAGTGCACTGGCCACGACTGCCTTCGCCTCCGAGGGGTAACACTTGTTCGAGTCGTGTATTACAGTAGTTTGTTGATAGCCAGCCGCGCGAACGGAACGCGTACGGAAGAAAACGATCGCGAGATCGATGTGGCTACAATATTTACGGACCACACTAGCCGCAATTGCCGGAGGAAAACAAAAGCAACCGGAGCTCCAGCTCCAGACGGGAAAAGCTAACATTTTGCGAATTTAGCAAACTCCAGTGAGCGGGGAAAACTTTGTGTGAGTTCTGGATTTCAAAGAAAAATACGCCGTATCAGCAGCGGCGAATATGAAGCCTTCGCGTCAGTTGTCCATCCGCTCTTGCTCCTATTTTGATTCCACTTCTCGGCCAGATCGGTAAACAAATTGTCTAATAAGCCATTGACTTTTCACCTAATAAATGAGATCGTATAAGTCAATTGAGTCGATGCCAATCAAGTGGGGCAACACAGATAAATCTCCATCACAATGGGCCGGATCGCAGATCTTGGAAGGCGAACGAAAAGTTTAAACAAACGTCCCTCGCATCAAAAGTGTTTTACGAGTTTTGTGTTTTGTGGTCGGCCAGAGTGATCGGAAAGAAGCTACATATGTACATATACCTATATATTTAATATATTAGAATGCCGGCAGAATATTCAAGTGGCTCGCGAACATATAAAGACATTGCCCAATCAAGTTTAACTTTATATATTCCCAATAGGGAATCACAAAACATTTAATTTCCGTTTGGAATCCAATAACCGTTATGGCCGTTCTATGCGCTTCTCAATCGATCGAGTGCCCCCGAAAGTTGCTGGTAGCCCCCACTCAATTGATAAACGAGCATTATCGCCGCGGCAATGATTTATTGTTGCATAAATGGCACTCACTATTTATTAATAAACGAGAAGCGAAATTCTGATAATTTATATATACGAGCGAATACCAAGGATTTGTGCCCCAGTGCTTGTGTGTGTGGGTGTTAGTGTTTGTGTGTTGTTGTGAGCCAATGTAGAGCACCCGTTCGCTTCAAATGGCCAAGTAAATAAACAAAAGTGGATTTTTACACTCATCGCCGACGGCGCACAATAAAATGTGTGAAAAATGTGCTAGAGCCAGTGGAAATGCAACCGCGTAGACCGAATAAATAAATAAATAAATACAAGCTTTGAGAGTCTCGGGTGTTTGCAGAGAAATTAAATGAAAATCGATCATTCGGGAAGTGAACAAATGGCCAGCCAGTGGAATTCAAATAAATAAATGGCAGACACAGTGTGTGCCTTACCCACAAGCCAACTAATCAAAGTGTTCGACAGGTTCCTTCGGCGATAACTTGTGGAAGGCAATGTCGCGGATATGCTAATTGGAAATGGATCCGATGATTTGTGATCTGTGGTCCAGCCACATCTGGCTTTTGGTGCTCATTTGTTTCTGCGGCTTTCAACAATCCAGTGGTTTTTTCGTGGACTACACAGGTGAGTCAAATAGCTTAACCCCCTGGATTAATAAGCCAAATGTGAAACAAAATATACAAAATAATTCGCACAGTTGTACAAACACTTAGGGTTCTCTTTTTGTAACGACACATTTCCGCATTTATTCGTCAAAGTGCTCAGAAGGTTAATCGCAACTGCGGAGAGCACGGCGCTTGATAAGATACTGTCAATTTGGCTATCATCGACGCAGAAAATAGAAAACAATTGTCTTGCCATTGCCTTGATTGAATGGATTGGTATTTTTTATATTTTTTGTTGCCGGTTCAGAGAACACGGAGCTCATTCAGCAGAGAGCCGGCTACGATGTCAAGCTGCAGTGCAATCTCAAAGGTCTGGTGGACGAGAGCATGTTGGACGACATCAAAATACATTGGTACTTCAAGGTATTTATGGTTGTCTTTCTTGTTCAAATAGTTGCTTATACTTTGTTTAAATATTAAGCAATGCAGCGAAAACAATTGCCATCAGCTGGAGTCTGTGGATGAGTGGACGGCCCTACCTTGTGAGCCGAGTCTGTGCCGTCCGGAGCTCTGGCTCCGAAATGTTACAGAAAGGTACTCCGGACTCTACAAGTGCAGCATAAATCCCCACATTTGGGATAAAGCTCAAACTGTGGACGTTCAACTGGTTCGCACCTATCAGTTGGATGTGAAGAGTAAGTCTTGCAGACTTAATTATTTACTTAATATTATATTATTTATTATTATTTTCATGTTTTATTATTTGTTTAATAGACACTTCCTTGGCTGCTCCCGAGTTCGTAGACTCGTATCCCAACAACAAGACGGTGCTGGTGGGCAGCCAGGTGGTCTTCCAGTGCCGCGTTCACAGCGAGGAGCATCCCACGATCAAGTGGTTCCGCAGGCAGACCTTCGTGGGAACCCAGTCGACCGGGGAGTCGTCCTCAACTGCCTCCACTACCTCCAACTTCAGCACCCACATAGTCCGCTACAATGGAAGGACGTACGAACTGCTGTCCACAGATCCCGAGAAACTAATGGCTCCCCAGATGTACCTCAGCAAGTTGATCCTGGATGGTGTGAGGTTCAGGGATGCCGGTCACTACGCCTGCGTGGCCATCAGCTATCGTGGCCACAAGATCCGGGAGGCTTTCCTCGAAGTCCTGCCCGTACAGGACGACTCGGACCTGGAGAAGGAATACTGGTCGGACTACGATGGTAGCGACGAGGGAGTTCCAACCAGCGATCCCCGGGAGTTTCTGCTCCTGTTCCTAATGCCACTTGGCCTGGCTCTTCTTCCACTCACTGTGTGGTTTAGTTATGTGTTGTACAAACGGTGCTCCGGTGGTCACGGCGACTGCCAGCGGATGGATTCCGATGAGGATCTGGAGGCGGAGAGGTGCGTCCTGGGAGGAAACTAATGCCATTATTAGAAATGCTGCAAACCGAATTACGCTTATTAAATATACGAATAAAGACTGTAATTAAAGTTAAGGATATGTACACTTTATATAAAATATATTATATATTATAAAGCAACAAGTTCTCTAAGATGCTCCTTTCACTTGAAATCAAATTGAGTTTCAAAAACTCAGTTGTTTTGCGCCATTAGGTTGAGTGTGATGGTTGTGTTCGAATGTTACTAAGGCAAGCTAGTTTAAGCAAAGTTCTAAATTTTAATAGTTCAAATTCCAAATTTGTTTCGTCTTCCGTTTATGGCTGATTGCTGTAATATTATCCACACTCTATCAGTATCCGCATTCCGACCGATTCTTTAGCAAACCGGAATTCTTCTCCCAATCATACCCCAAGCTTTGAGATAAGCCATCACCATCAATTTAAGGCTCTTTGGATATCGGGTGGATTTCGAATAGCACAATCAGATAACCCACTACTCCAAAAGCACAATGGCTGGATCGAGGAGACGTTGCAGCCTTTTGGGCTACTATGAGTACTTGATGCCCGGAATATACGACTATCCGGTGACCCATAGTGCCGCAGCTACTATAACTGCCTACAACCTGAGTCCCATTCTGGCCTGTGGCTCATCCCCTTGGTCTGGTTCCTGTGCGAATGCCGACTACGTGGCCGGACCCTTGGGCGTGATCAACTACTCCTCGGATATGCAATCGCACTTGGCTCTGCCCACCATCGAGTGCCTGCAAACCGGTTTGATTTTTACCAGCTTAGGTCAAATGTCGCTGGGTTACTATTCCGATCAGTACTCCCAAATCGAGGAGGATCTAACGGACAATGAGGAGTACGGGTACGAGATTCCCCAGCTGGACATTTGCCTGGATCACCTGACTTCGGAGGGGAATGAGGAGCAGGCGAAGGAGTGTTCCTCGGACTCTCAGAGTTCACCCAACAGTTACTCATCGGTGGAGATCAGCGAGCAGTCGGAATCAGGATCTAGTTCGGGATCTGGATCAGGATCAGGATCAAGGTCTCGATCAGAATCAGGATCTAGATCAGGATCAGGGGATTCCCAGGAAAAGCCAAAAAAGCGAAGAAGAGTCTCGGTAAAACGAATCTACAAGGCGAAACAGGGTTATATAGTAGAGGAGCCCACTAGCGAGTTGTCCGAGGAGGAACCGGAGGAACTGCCACCCGCATCCAGGACATAGATCTCTTTTAGAACTTCAGTAGCTTAGTTAGATGTACTGCAAACGCACTACCTGTAAGCAAGTGTACAAATCGTTCAAATTGATTGTTGCAATTGAATAGTGAGCAAATAAATATATATATTTTATAGCAATGATCACTTCGTAGAAACTAAAACTTAACCAGGAAATACAACTAATTCATAGAAATATGAATATGATACATATATGAACAAAAGATCTCATTTCACATAAGTGCAAATTGATAAGCCCTATTTAGTACACAGTAACACCTAGTCGATACCTAATTTGCACTGCCATTGAGCGACTAATTTAATTATTCGCACATGTTTATCGACTATGCTCTCTGCTCCCCAAATGGCTCGAACGAAAAGTTGTCTCCCAGTCTCTCTGTTTTTCTCTAGCCCTCTCTTTCTTTTCCGATAGCCCTCTCTCTTTCTAGTGGGGCTGCCTCCCATCGATAGCCGCTCAGTTGTTATACGACTTTTGATGCCATCGGACGTGACCCGTGTTTATTTAGTGTTTTTCGTGAACGGGGCAGCGAAAACGAAAGCACTCGCTATAAAATAAACAAAAAACTATTTTTAGGCTGCAAATCTTAAATATACCTTCTCGATCGGATCGACTGCAGCAGGAGCACAGAAGTTGTCACAATGGACTGCAAATCGCGACGCGGCACCAAAATATCGGTGATCGCCCTGGGCAGTGCCCTCTGTTTCGTCATGATGGCATACTTCGTGTTCGGGGACAGCAACGACGAGCAGGGGCTGCGGAATCTGCGCATGATATCCATAGTAAGCTGGAGCTGCGTTGGCTAGCTCTGAACATCGGCAACTCAGTTTGTGTTTATCAATCCACCAGCTGTTCCGACACGGCGCCAAGAATCCGAGTGGCTTCTACCCGCTGGATCCGCATGCCGCTCACGATTGGCAGGGCGGCATGGGAGCCCTCACACCGGTTAGTATTGGGTACAGTGGAGCATCAGTATCAGTAGCTGTTTACCCTAATAAATTGCCAAACGTCTTTGGTGGAAAATCGTTAAATAGCTCAGAAATAATCAGTGATCACTTCGCACTTTAATAAACATTTTGGCATATTTATCATGATCAGGAACGTCAAAATCATATTTTTCAATTGGTTTCTACTTCAGTTCTGTATCTAATCTGCAAAATTTTAATGGTTTTAAAATACAAAAATAAAAAGGCAAAATAAGCCTAAAGATTGTTTTGCTTTGAAATTCCTTATTCGACTTTTGCAATTTATTTTAGTTATCTTGCTGATAAAGGTTAGAACAGATGTTAATAACTTAGAGAAGAAAACGTGTTTTTCTATTTTTACCATTACCATAATCTATAAATAGCACATTCCCTTGAGCCCAACTTGTATTAGAAATTACAAACTTAAGGTGTGTCTAATAAACTTACCAAGCTCTGTTTATTTACAATATTTTCCTCTTTATCGCCTATTGCAGAAGGGCAGCCTGCAGGCGTACAACCTGGGGAAGAATCTGCGCATGCGCTACTACCGCCTGCTGCCCTCGAACAGCCTCTACACGCAGCAGCAGGTGCATGTCCTCAGCTCGGCGGCGGAGCGGTGTGTGGTGCGTAAGTCGTTCCGATAAGGAAGCCTTTATTCTGTCTTTAGCTATCTGTCCGAGATGGAGGAGCCCTAATCAGTTGGCCGTGTGTTATCTTTTAGATGAGCGCCCAGAGCGTCTTGGCCGGCATGATGCCACCGCTGGAGAACAACAACGTGTTGCCCATTCCCTGGCAGCCGGTGGCCGTAAATACGCTATCGCGAAATGATGATATAGTGAGTGCCGTCGTATATCCATAAACAAAGTGCCAGTCATTATAATGGGGTATCTCTTCCAGCTTTTGGCCCAGAAGAAACCCTGTCTGAAGTACGACAACATCCTGCAGAAGCTCTACAAGTCGCCCCCTGCTGAACTCCAGAAACTGAACGAGGACAACCTGGAACTGTTTAAGCTGCTTACAAAGAACACAGGCAAGGTGGGAGAGGCACAGTGAAAAAGTTACAAAACATTGGTCGTTAATATGTTTTTTATCATATCAGAGTGGCTCTTATCGCAATTATTCTAGCTTACCTTTTAGAGTAGCCAAAACATATCAGAATTTATTTTTTATCAGCAGGTACACTCTTAATCTTTTACTCATATTTTTTCTCTTTCGTATACTATTTCTAATGGCACTTATCTTATTTCCTTCTTATATGTTTTTTATATAATCCTATAGAACATTTCAAATGTGCTGGATGTGGAGCTTCTATATGGCACCCTCAAAACCGAAGAGGAGGCTGGTCTGGTGCTGCCCGATTGGACTGAGAACATATATCCCGAGGAGATAAGACCACTGGCCGAGCGTAGCTATATGCTTTTTACGGAAAGCCATCTGATGAAGCGAATCAAAGGTGGCGCCTTCCTCACGGAAATACTCATGAAAATGCAGAACAAGCGAAAGAGGAACCTCAATCCCGATCGCAAAATATTTCTGTACTCGGGACATGATGTTACTTTGGTGAACGTCATGAATTCCCTGGGGATTCTGGATCAGACCACCAAGCTTCCTGAATATGCCTCTGCCTTAGCGTTTGAGCTTCATCACAGCAAGTCCTTCAGCGACGCTGACTTTGAAGTGAAGGTTGGATATTGTTGAAATACAAAATTCATGTTTCCAATTAATATATTTTTATTTTAGTTGGTCTACTATTACAACAGCGAAGACAAGTTCCCCAAGGAACTGACCATTCCCAACTGCGACGCTCCCTGCTCGTTAACCCAATTCGAGGCCACCTTGAAGTCCCTGCTTTTGGACAACTACGATGAGACCTGCGAGAATCATCCAACTGACTGCAAAACCTAATATTTCTTCCATTGTTAACTGTTTCTGTTTGTTGAAAGTGTTTTAGTCTGGGGTGCTGCTTAAGTTCATTGCCTGGTTTTGTTTTGGTTAGCTCATATATAATAAAAATGGGTTAGATATATAGCTTTAACTGGAACATAACTCAAGATATACATATGTTCTATAACCACGAAGTAGTGTAAAATAGAAAAGGGGTCAGTATATTTATGTCAAAAAGACAAATAAATTGGTTAAACTGTTACCTATGTTTTTTGAAATGAACAGTAATGCCCTCTTCAATTCTAAGCAAATATGTACATTGTTGGGAAAGGAGGCTCTCCTTTTTATTTCAATTTTGGCTGCCTTTGAAATCAAATCAAAAAGTTGCCCCCTTGTCCTCGGCGTATAGAAAATATATGGGAACTTTCACAGTCTCGCTGACATGAACGATCTCTGTGTGGCTAATTAGACGGATGGCAGCCAGGCCGTAGAAGAGCATAGGTAAGCCTAAGAATACACACAATTATGAATTAAAAGTAAGGCATGAAATACAACAGACCTACCCAAATTGATAACCTTTAGGAAGCGAAAGAACTTGTCTTCCAGCCAGAGATCCTGCACTTCCCTCCTGCTACAGTGGTACTTCATATACGGATAACAGGCGGTGCGCAGGATGTGGTAGTTGGTTCCACTGTCCAGAGTCCAGTTGAAGTGCGACATTCCCCTCTGATCGTTGGCCACGTCCCTGAACTGAAGTTAGAGCAATTCCTTTTGTTAACTTGGAAGAAGTCCTTTAGCGGAAGGAAAAGCAGTCTGACCTTCACGAAATATGATGTCCAGGGTGGCTCATGGCATTGCTTCAAATATGCGGTCAATACTTCCGAGGCTCGAGGCTTCAGTAAAAGGCGGGTGAGTTGCATTTGGTTGGCGAATAAATCCTATTGCATCACAAAAATAATAACAATTGAGCAGGTACCAATTTGTTATTATTTTTGTTGTTCTTATCGAACTGCCAGCTGATTTGCAATCGATAGTAACCAACGCGTACATCGATATCTAACGGTAGAGTCTAACGATAAAGGGCGCTTTATTTGAATTCAAATTAATCCAAAATGGTTATGTATTTTTTTTTAAGAAATATAAAATGGGTATAATTATTATATAAAATTATTTTTAAATACATTCCTAGCCTCTTGGCAATTAGAAACACCAGCAAAAACACCCATCTGACGGAGCATTTTACGCTGGATGAGCGTGTGGCCAACGAGAAGCTCCTGGAATACGAGGAGGGTTCCAATGAGCGAATGGAACTGGAAACCGCGCTGCTCGGCGTCCTCAACAGGGTGGAGCACGTGCCCATCGTGATCGATGGACAGGAGTTCCAAGGAGCCAAGGAACTACAGCAGGTTCTGCCCTACGACACCCAACAGCCCATAGCGCACTATGGACATGCCCATCGAGTCCTCATCCAAATGGCCATCGACAAGAGTCTGGAGGCGCAGGTGAAGTGGGATACGACCAAGCTGAGCGAGAGGATTAGAATTTGGGAGCGGGCGGCGGAGCTGATAGCCGGAAAACATCGCTACAACATCATTGCGGCCACGATGTTGGGCCAGGGGAAAACCCTTCGTCAGGCGGAAACCGATGTGGCCGAATTGGTGGACCTCATGCGAATGAATCCGGTGTTTCTGCGGGAACTTGCCAACTACGAACCAAACAACGGAACATCAGGGAACTGCAGGAACTCCATGCGTTTGAGGGGACTTTCAGGTGAGTTTTCCTAGTGAAATTGTAAACATTATATGAACTTTGAAAATCATATTGCTCTCAGGATTTGTGGCTGCCATTAGTCCTTTCAACTTCACGGGCATTGCCGGCAATCTGGCTTACACACCCGCCCTGATGGGCAACTCGGTGGTGTGGAAGCCCTCAGATTCGGCAATCCTCTCCAACTACTTCGTGTTCAAGGCTATGCAGGAGGCGGGAGTGCCCAGGGGAGTGGTGAACTTTGTGCCCGCCGAGGAGACGAACTTCGCCTCCGTTGTAACTCAGCATCGGAAGCTGGCGGGGATCAGCTTCACCGGCACCTCCAACGTTCTCAAGGTTCTCTGGCAGCTGGTGGCTGACAACATCAAGTTCTACGAGAACTTTCCCCGCCTGGTGGGCGAGGGCGGGGGAAAGAACTTCCACTTCGTGCATCCCTCCGCGGAACCGGAGACCGCGGTGGCCTGCACCATCAGAGCAGCCTTCGAGTATGCCGGCCAGAAGTGCTCCTCCTGCTCCATGCTCTACGTGCCGGAGTCCCTGTGGGAGAGCCACATTCGAGATCCCCTCCTCCAGATCACAGCCTCCCTGTTCGTGGGACATGCCACGTACTGCGACTGCTTCTACTCGGCGGTGATCAACAGGAGGGCCTTCGATCGCATCTACATGTGGCTGAGATACATCGAACAGAGTCCGCAGTGCGAGATTCTGATCGGCGGCGGCTGCGACAAGCAGCGTGGATACTTCGTTGATCCCACGGTGGTGTTAGTCAAGGACTTGGACAACATTATTTGTCGCGAAGAGCTGCTGGCCCCCATCCTGGGAGTTTACGTTTACCCGGACGACCAGCTCCAGGAGACAATGGCCAAGGTGGCCGAGATCAATCACGGACTGATTGGCTCGGTGTTCGCCAGGGAGGAGAGGTTCATCAAGGAGGCCTACGAAGCCTTTCGGTTCAACGTGGGCAACCTCAACGTGAACGACAAGTCCACTGGTTCGATGGTGGGTCAGCAGCCCTTTGGGGCGGGTCACATGACTGGCACCAGCGACAAGTTGGGCAGTCCACACGCCCTGCTGAGGTGGACGTCGCCCCAGGTGGTCAAGGAGTCCTACAAGCCACATATGAAGATCTACTACCCCTACATGAAGATCAGCGAGCAAGAGCAGGGATTCCCTCGGATGGAGAGCGACGAAAGCGAGACCTCTGAGAGCGAGATCAGAGAGGAAGAGCAAGAGCGGCTTATCTAACACCTTCGGAAGGCTTTTACACCATTTTCCTAAATTTATGTACAATAAATTGAAAAATTAATAGTTTTCTAAACGACATACCATCTGAATACTTTTGGGAACAAAGTCAAATATTTATAACACACGAAAAACACAATCCACTCAAATGATTTGCCGCAGAAAATCAGAAAAAACATGAGATGTCAAGTTATTGGTTTATTGTTTTGTGCTTACTTGTTATACCCGTTCCAGTTCCAATCAGATCCTCAGAGGCCAAGGATCAGAAACTGAAGATGCCTCTCAAGGAGGATGTGTTTGGTCATGTACATAGACTATACAATGCCTATCGGGAGCGAATAAAGGGTGAGGGTGATGATGCAGAAGGCGACGTGAAAGTGAAACCGAAGGATCAAGTACCACTGCAAAGGGACCTGACCTCCGTAACTAGGAAAACAGTGCAACCTGTGGTTATTGAAAACACCCCCATAATCAAATTCGATGCCACTGACGACAGGTCCATGCCACCAGGGAAGTGCCTGGCCCGTCTTCCGAATCAGAGCAAAGAGGTTCCAAAAGGAAACGGAAAACCTGAGGTTAAGACCCCCGTGTTAGGTAGTATGATCCTAGTGAAACTGAAAGTGCCAGAAAAAATGCTGCAGACAAAACAACCAGAAAAGCCACAGGATTCCGGGGAGCGGAGAATTTATGAACTAAATCGGATATACAACGACTTCCTGAAAGCTTGGCAAAAACCAGTCCCGAGTTTGCCGCCGAAACCGTTGAGCTCTTCGGGATCTCAGCGATTGAGTGCCCTATTCGAATTGATGGATGTGATTGAGCGGCTCCAGAAATCCGATTTGGTCAAAGAATTGGCCCAGAAGATCAACCAGGAAATGGAGCCCAACCTGCAGAACCAAATCAAGCAGGATACCCTTCTGGTGACGGAAAGCAGAGCCTCTCTGAAAGCCATAAAAAAGAACGATCTCTCGGGACTCTTCGAAAATGTAGAACCCAGAAGCGCTTCAATAGCTTTCAAAAAGGTATTGGATGATATCAACGCCAGAAGATCTTCCATAAAAGCTGGTGGACTTTACGATGAGTACAAGAAGGGCTTCTGCGAGTTATTCAGTGATAGTAAGTTTCCCAGGCAATCGCTCATAACCAGCGAAGCTGATAACTTTATGGACAGCGAAACCAGTCACAAAATGAACGAAGGTTTTCCCAATCAGTGTGATAACTCAAAAGCGTCTTCCTTAATAAGCAACCAGCCACAAGCTAAGTCCTTTAGCAAGATATGTTCTTCAATCGAAAATACGAAGCCAAACGCAAACTATTTAAAGGCACTGGAAACCTTTATTAAAATGAACAAGGAGAGCAATAAAAACGGGGGCTTGAAGCCCTATTATTTGCCCAACTCCAAGAATCGTCAGCTAGTTTGGAATGATATTCCTTTGATTAAGCCAGGTCTCAGCGATGTATCCAGGAAAACTTCGGAGGACAACTCGAAATATAAACCTTCGAAAATGCCTATAAAAGAAACTGTTCTGACTGAAAAGGAGGACAATCGAACACTGAGCGCTACGCAGGTTCAAAAACAAGAGCCCAAAAATCTGGAATGTGCGACAAAAATTAGTGTAAGACCAGAGCCTAAAACTCAGGAATTTGTGCGAATGCCGGGGACGGATCCACGGACTTTTAATCCTTGGCAGGAAGTTTTCTCGGGACAGGATCCCAAGCAGATCATAAGCGGGCTGAAGGCCATCAAGCAGGCCTCCTTCTTCAACCTGGTGGATGAGTACCAGAAGCAAATCGACAACCTCAATCAGGCTCTGAAGACCAAGCAAAGCTGGTGGAAGGAGGTTTTGGAGAGGAGCAAAAGTCCGGCGAGGGCACCCATTAAAAGGAATGTATTGATGAGCAATTCGCCACCTGGGAGCGCTCTGCCAGTGCCTTTTCCCGAGGTGCTGGTCAATCAGGCACCGACATTGGGTGGCAATAATGTGATCGACAACATGGCCTCCCAAATGAACATGTCGCCTGTAGAAATGGCTCAAAGAATCGTGGGCGCTGGTCAAAACGCGGCAGTGAATCCAGGGGATGCGCGAGTCAAATTCGTACAAACACCCATGCAAACTGGTATTGTTGATTAACTATTCTTAAAGATAACCTAAACTTATTGATGCCCTTAAAAAGCAAGTCAGATCGGAAGCAGTTTCAAAAAGGGGCCACAGCTCATGTGCCAGGTCCCGTGTCAACCGGCGGGGGGTCAGTTCCTTCAGCAACAAGCACCGCAATTCGACTGTCAGGAGCCATCAGGAGAGCAGATGGGCGTGTCCCCGGTTCTAGACAAGATTCTGCAGCGCTTGGAGACCATTCAGGCCACCAAGTGCAATAAGTCTGCGGAGGAGGAGGAGGAGAAGCGGCTGCCCTGCTGCTTTGTCGATCCGGCAGATGGTAAAATCTGATCTTAGAGCTGGTATATATAAAATATATTCTATTGCAGGTGCCCCCTGTGACCTGAACGGCTCCTGGGAATCCCTCGTCCTGGGAGTTCGCATTAATATTCGATCCCCGCCCACAAATCAAAATCAAGTGGAGGAAAAGGCCACCTGCTCTCAACACAAAACAAATCGCGCCTTCAAGAGTAGGTTTCAGCGGACGTGCGTCAAGATGAACAAGACCCAGTTAAAGGAGATAGCCGACGCGAATACCCCCAACTACAAGGGGGTTGCGCTGAACATCAGTGTCCAGGAGACAGTGCCTCCAAGGTCCCACGAACTGCTTGACAACCTCGCCGACTGGCACTTCTCTGGCCACGCCCTCATGACCCTCGGCGGACCCCTGTCGCTGTCCTTCCGAAAGAGCAAGTCGAACCTAATCGGACACTTTGTGGGCTACTGCCGCACCTGCGGCTGTGTGGACACCATTTTCGGTTCGTGGACCTTCTGCCAGCCGTCGCGGGATTGTCAGGATATATGCATGTCGATTGTGGATCGGCGGGATATGCTCAGGAGATATAGCATGGACGAGCGGCGGAAGAATCGGTTCAAGGAGCAGCTCTACATGGGCAGCAAGTTCGCCAAGATGGAAAGGGAGCGACAGCGCGTCGAAAGTGGTGCTAAGAGTCAAAGCTGTTCTAAAAGTTAATTTTAACTATTTTTCATTAGATTGTTGCCGATTTATTTTGTTACTTTTATAATTTTTGTAGACATTTTGTTGAATGAAGTGGTTAATATTGACTTTTAATAAGAGTTTGCCTGGCTCTTTTGGTGGTGAATAAAGGACATAGTATATCCAATCGATCGCCTCACGCAATGCATGTCCATTTGACCATCCAAAACGCAAAGTCTTAATTGTCCCACGGCATAATCCTTGATCCTGCTCTTGGTATCCTCGTTCTCGATCCGCTCCAGTCGCTTGTCCACCTTGTGCATCAGGACATATGCCTCGGGATAATTACACACATCGCAGGCCCACAGTTGGGAGTGCGGACGGGTCCAGGATTGAGCTGAATACTCGTCTGATCCGGGAATAGTTGAGGCCTGGGCCAAAGCCACTGCACAGATTAGTAGAACCACGAGAACTGAGCGCATTGCAAATGCTCTTAAAACGAACTGTGTAGTTCCTCTCAGAAGCTTGCCCTTTTATAGGCAGCTCTTGATAACAAGACATCTGTTTACTGATAGTCCCGTGGAAAGTTGTGGGAAAAAAGGGCTGTGTCCCCCACATTGTTGCTGCACGAGCTTCTTCATTATTGACAAGGTCAATGTCAAGTCACTGATTAGCAAAAGACTAAGCCAGCATTTATTCTCGCATTGTTCAATTAATTTAAATTATGGCAAGTTAGGCAGAAGGTTTGGTGCGATTATTATACATAGTAAATAGCACGCAGTATAGTCACTAAAATGACTCATAAATATATTGTTTTATTAAGGGATTCCCATGCAGACAATTTTTTAAAAATATCAAAAAATGTAAAATAGTTTAAGTCTTGTTTATTGTCTTATTGATTATCCAGTCCAAGATATCCTGTCTCAAAAATGGGTTAAAAAATTCAAAAAAAAATGTTGCACATTACTCACCTGAACTCCAGCGCCTGTCTGCATAGAACATTCTTTAATAGTCCAATCCCGATCCCCTAGGCGATCCAGACCCATCAAATCGATCACAGTAGCTGAGGACAGAGATCCCGAGGTGTCCTTTTTATTGGACACGATCAGCAGAGGAGCTTTGTTGAGTTCCTGGTGCATTAGAACGTCGCATAACACACAACGAGCTTCACTGAGACGCACTGCATCCTTGCTGTCCAGTACAAAAACCTTGGATTCATGGATTAAACACGAAACTAAAGGTAAACAAAAATATTGCTCTCACCAAGATCTTCGCTTTCTGGTAGTAGTTTGGCCACATCTGTCTGTTTTTTAGTTCCCCATTAATATCCCACAACTTCACTTTGAAATTATTGATTGTGAGGATCCACTCGTGAGCCTCCTTGTTTGGATCCTTTGACTATATTGAGGGAAAGTTTGAGAAAAGGTATGAAGCCTTATTACCAAGTCTTACATCCCCATTAAAAACCTCCGCTAAGCGGTCTGTTAACGTGGACTTTCCAGCATTGTCTAATCCTAAGATGAGCAGACAGGATTTCTGTGTGCCTAAGGGCAGAAACTTTTTGAAGAAGGAAACTACTCCGTAAATACACATGGTCAGTTAGTATGTAAATGTCAGAATAAAAAACTAAGCATTCTTTGTTGTTTTCAATTTCTTTATTTAGAGAGCAATAGTAGTTGACATAAAAATACAGTCGTTTTTACGATTTTAAAAACTTGGTTTATAATAATGAGATAATATTTACGTATAGTGTTTATTCTTTAACTTAGGGACAACTTAACAGGCGAGTGTAATGATGGCTTAGGCTACTTCTTCATGTTCTTGCAGACCCAGTCCATTCCCTCCTTGAGGCCAGTGCCATCCACGGCGGTGCAGGCCTTGATCTCCCAAGTCCTTCCCTGCAGTTGCACCAGGCTCATCTTCTCCGCCACCTCGGAGGCACTCATCGCATCCGGCATGTCCTGCTTGTTGGCGAAAATGAGCACGGGAACCTGCTTCAACCGATTGTCCATTAGCATCTCGAACAGTTCGCTGCCCGCTTCAGGAAGTCGAGCCCGATCCGTGCAGTCGATCACGTAAATCTAATAGAAATACTTTGAAATAGGTTTGGAGATAATAAATCTCATCCGCTCACCAGCACATCTGTATTGGCAAAGTAGTTCTTCCAATATGGCCTGATCTTCCACTGACCACCAATATCCCAAACATTGAGCTTGAAACCATCGGCTGCCACGGACTTGATATTAAATCCTGCCGTGGGCGTCACCTGCGGGATTTCACTCCGTATTTTATGGGGGAACCGGAACCAGTTCGCTGCTTTCATACGCACCGTGGTTATGTCCTCCGAGGCCAGTTGCTTCAGGATCGTGGTCTTTCCCGCGTTGTCCAGGCCCAGGAGCAGGATGCGGGCCTCCTTCTCCGGATTCGGTCTCAACTTACGCAGAAGCGATAGCAGACCCTAAAATACACAAAGAATTAAGTACTTTTGCCGGTAAGAGAATGAATATCATCCCATATCTAGAGGGAATAGTCCAGAATCATTTTAACCTGATATTCAGCATGTTTGTCCATTAATTTACTATCCATGTATTGATAAAAATATTTGAAGGATATATAGTATACTATATTTAATTTTATAGTACCAGTGTTTGAATAAAATTTGATCAACAAAATAAATAATAAAATATTGAAACAAGATAAAGAATATTATTTGTTTCTGTCTCGTATTACGAACCGACTCAATATTTGAACGGCGATAAGTGCGCGCCAATAATTTTTGGGGGTAGTACTGGGAAAAGTTCTGCTCGAGAAGCCGCCAAAATATCGGAGCAGTGTTGCATAGTTTTGGAGGCGTCTCCATGGCAACGATCGCGAAATGAAAACAAACAGGGAATTACGGAACAACAAGGCACTTAATTGGCTGTTACGGAAGCGGGAGATAACCTACCATTCTATAATCTGTGAGCGCCGTAAAGTCTCCTCTCGCGTAACTATATAATTGTACCCCTTGGATCCGGTAATCCGGAGAAGGGCCGGTGACGGAGTCTTCTGGTGGCCAAGTCAGGAAAAGTCGGGAAACTCGGAAAACTCGGAACTGGATCAACCACCAGACAGAACATCACACGTTCAGCGCTGCACAACCACTGAAAACAAATAACAAATTCGCTCAACGCTCCAACAAATTCCGGCAACAACAAAAGCACGGTCGCCGAGCAACCGCTGCAAAGGAGCGAAAGAGAGGGGCGACTGGCGGCCGAGTGGGAGGGGGAGCGGAATTGGAACGGGAACAAGATGCCGCTGCTATTTACGGGCTTCAACGCATTTGGCCAGCATGAATGTGTAAGCGGCGACGCCGACTGCGCTGCCGGCTTCAGCGGTTTGTAACCGGCAACCAAAGCCGACGATCACTTAGTTCTTACAGTAGACACTCATCAGTGACCCATTAAGATAGCTATACAAATGCATATTTTGCCGTCTATACCTTTTAAAGTTTCAATGTTTCAATGCTGTTCAATTTTATTTTTTTAAAATTTAAAATCAAAGTTGCTAACACCTTCTTAAGCATGTTCCACTGTAGTTATACTAATTAAGTCCTGTCTTTATTCCAGAAATAAATACGACAGTCTCGACTCAGAACCAGTGCACGATTTCGGTCGGCTGGCGGTATGCGGCCCTTGCTTTCGGCCGGAAGTTGTTTCTGCGTGGGCTCTTGGATGATGGCCCAAATGAGTGCGTGACCCATGAAGCAGCGGGGGACATTAAGGCCATGGCTGCCGGGGATTCCTACTGCCTCGTTCTGCTGCACAACGGCCAACTGTACCGAGTGCAACCCAGACTACAGGCGGAACTACTGTTTGTGAGATTAGAAGCTCCTCCCCGATCCAATTCGGGAACAAAGCGCTCTATCTTTGGGATTCCCAAGGCGCCCTCGTCGCCAATAATCGAGCATATTGCCTGCGGATCGCACATAAACGTTGCGATTAGCTCGGAAAACTCGGTGTACAGCATTCCTAGTTGCCTACACCAGTTTTCCGAGCGCCAGTTTCGGGTGAAGCAGCTCCAATGTGGATTTGAGCATGCGGTGCTCCTCAATGTCAACGGCGATGTGTTTACCTGGGGAAACGGACTGTAAGTAAAGTTGATTGTGCAGAAATACCTTTAAAGAGGGTGACTTACTATTACCGGAAGTTTGCCAAAAAAAATTGCAAATTTATTTTTTGACTGTTTAAAGTTTTCCCCTTTTTGTAAGAGTATTTCAAAGTTTTGAAATCCTAACCTAACGAATTTCTCTTTCTAATTTCTTGTGATTTTTGCACATTCGTGCCATAATTAACAGACGCGGCCAGTTGGGCCAGGCCGTGCTGAGAGTGGAGGAGACGCCACAGTTGGTAGAGGCGCTGGCGGGGATCAAGGTAAATATTTGACTTGTCCACCTATCTCGGCTGTCACACTGTCAAGTGTTTTGCAGATAACTCAAATTGCTGCCGGTGGATGGCACAGTGCGGCCATATCCGCCTTCGGAGACCTCTACACCTGGGGCCTCAACTGCAGCGGTCAGCTGGGAATGCGTGTGATGAAACCCGGGGGCTTGCTCAAAGAGCCCACTGTCTATCCGCTGCCGCAATTGCAAGACCTGCCCGAGTGTGGCTGCCCCCAGGAGTCGAGGGGCAGCGATGACTGTGCACCACTGAGGGCGTTCGCCGGTTCTCGTCACACTCTGATGATCCGGCAGTGCGGGCGGCTATGGGCCACTGGTTGGTGCAAGCACGGCCAGCTGGGGAAGCGGCTCCAAAACCTGTCTTACCTGGACTCTTTTAAGGCTCTGGAGGGAATCGTGGTGAACCCCAGTTCCGATAACGTTCTTTGCGGTCCCTGGTCAACTCTAATCTTTTTAAGAAAACTGGAGAACTGAAATCCCAAAACTTTCAGGCTGTGATACTTTTATAGCAATTTGTACTTAAGTTATTGAATGCTTATTAAAAATTCCATCATCTATATACCCAATCCATATTATTTGATAGTATTTTTAATTTAAATATTTGTTTTTTAATATTTCCATATCATTAAAGTTTGAAAGCTTCAACCGTCAACACAGCAGAGACAAACACCAACTTACGATACTCTTGCATATTTTTCTGCGTAGAGAAAAATGTAGAGAAACACTTACAACCAGTATAGCTTGTAAAAAACGTGTACAATGTAAACACAAAAGAGTTTTGGGTAAAATTCGAAATCCAATTGATCATAGTTACTATATTACTTGAAAGAAACACGATTTAAAAATTATTTATTAATGTTGTAAAAGGGAGATAAATTAGTGCAAAGAAGGCCCTGAAATAAGTTATCTCCAGCTTAATTAGGGAAACAAATTTAAACCAAAAAAAATAATCACTGAAGCTACAAGAAATCCCTGGCCATGTCGTAAGTGCGTACCAATGGACAGTGGGCCATTCTCATGTTCATCAGTCCTAGCGCAATATTCGTCCTTTTCTGGCGCATAAATGTGCAGCTCGTCTATCCGTACGGATACATGGACCGTTCGCTGGAGGACGCTCTGAACGACGATAACCTGGTGTGGAGCAAGGGGGATCGGATCGAGCGGAACCTGGAGTGGCTGCTGCGGGACTCCTTCCGGACCTCGGTGATCCTGGTGCTGATGATGGAGATGCTGCGCTTTGTGGACCTCGCAGTGAATATTCCAAACGCGGTGTTAAACAGACTTTAGTCCCGGGTTCGAACTGTGTCCCCAAGCCGTTCGTTGCCCCATCAAAACAACGCTGCTCAAATAATTTCGTCTTGGGGTAGGACCGCCATTGTGCCAACGTTCGTCGCCGTCGTTGTCGTCGCCGCTGCCCATTTAATCAGTAAATTTTATTTTTTAAAATGTTATTAAACAATATTTGCCTTAGCAAAAGTCAGACGTTCGCAGTGCAATAAACTTTTCAGCACTTGAGCCGCTCGACTGACTGATTGGCTGATTGACTGGCAGACTGGCGGACTCACTGACCAACTGATTGACCGAACGACTGACGTTGGGAATTTTTCTTTGTTTTAACTTTAACTCGACGGAAACCCGCGATTATTTCGATTTCGTGGAAGTGCGTTCCTCGCGAAGGTTTCGATAGGATTTTCATGCGTCGTTATATTGGTTCTGATAGCAGTTCAATTGGTTCGAATGGGAAATGCTGCTTCTGATTTCTTTAGCCCACTTAAAACGGAATTTTTTCTGAAATATTTATGATACTGGAAATCGTATTCAGGCTGATATCAAATTGTATTACGCGGTGTATATGTGTATATTTTTTATGGGCTTGTGCTTAATACGTTTATAAGTTAGGAAAGGATAACAGAGTTTGTATTCTTGGGAATAAACATCGTTTATTTTATGGACTGTTTCCGCTGAGTAGAACTTGTAAAAAAGTTTTTAAAATATTTTACCTTGTACCTTGGTTTCAAAAACCAAATATTTTTTTTTTAATAGGTATTGCAAACCACTTTGTTTAGTTGCATTTCTTGTAGCGCCTTTAGTCGTCGCCACCACCCCACCATTTATAATTGCCATACATGCGTTCCCGTTCCTATAGGCGAATTTTCCGCAGCGCTGTCTGCGAGCGAGTTCAACGCTTTCATGTTATTTGCCAAATGAAAAAGTAAAAAACAAATGTTTATCTTATAATGCACTGGGTGGCAGTTCAGTGGAGTTCTGGCGACACGCACACATGGTGCGTAAATAGGCTTTGCTTTTGGGCTTTACTTTTTCATTTTATGGCCGTTTTTTTTTCGTTGGCAAACTTTGTTATCGTCAAAAAAAGAAACTCCCGGCGGAACACACTCTGTGCGAAATGGAAAGCGGGGGGGAGTCTTGTCACTTTTAGGTCGCGAAACTATTCGAGCTAGAAATTGCCACCGCACGGTGACTAAGAGAAAGAGAGGGCGAGATGGGTCCAGAAAGAGAGGGACAGATCGCCGGGGAGTTCAAGCGCCTCGCTCAAGGCAACTGCTGTCTGCAGCTTATCGGGGCAACTGGAACCACTCGAGGCGGCAAGTACGAAAAAGTGCTAATTGTACTCTGTGCTCCCCCGATTCGCGGGGTTTTCGTTACTCGAAAATTATACTTCATGCGTGCCAGCAGACGCCAAAGTTTCAACAGAACTCAGTCAATCATAACCGAAAAAAGGGCCCAAGAACACTCCTCTCGGCCAGCGAGTTGTCTGCACTTTCGGTTTGGCAAGTGTTTGCGTTTGTCCAGGGGAAGATCCCTCCAAGTGCGTGCCACTCCGCATGCAACGCTGAGCAGTGGCCACCAGTAGCCGATTCTTAGTTGGTTTAAAATCCACGCCCATGCCCAAAAGCCGAATCGTCAACACCCACCTTGATAAAAAGTACAGGGAACCCTAGGGAGGTGATCAGAGTTTAAGAGGGAACTACTTTAAATATTCTATTATTTTGTTAAGTGCATTCTTTTCGGTTATCTACTTGTTAATAAAATTTCATTTGTTTGATTTCTACATAAAGAAAGGATTATACAATAGCAACCTTCACTGTGCTCGTCGATTCCTTCCCTTTGTGAGTTGTGTGCGAAAACATCATCGCCTGGCCCGTTCCCATCGCATCCGATTTCCCACCTACTACCTTGGCGCTTGGCCTGGCCAACACATGTTCGCCCGGAGTGCCTGTGTGCCCACGGCCTATTTGCTTTTGGGCGTACATTGAACCGCAGGCCAGAACTCGGCGCCACCCCCAACTAATCATCACTTTGTTGCTGCGTTAATGACTCGCCTTGGATTTGCAGCGCCAACTCCCTTTGGAGCTTCCCATTTAAGTGAATGCGCCAGAGCCAAAAAATAAAAAAAAGGGGGAATCGTATAGGAAAAAGGAAGTCGTGTTGGAGAGCGTGTTCCCAAAACGTTTTGGCATCCCAAATGGATGTCGGGCTCCTCCCCTATCACTCAAAGTGCCATAAAAATTATGCATGAATGTATTTGCTTCATTTCTACACTTTTTTTCCTTTCTGGCCAAATATAAAAAGTGCCGCTCCCCCGAAAAAAAAGTGAAAAACCAAAAAAAGGGAGAACGAAAATGAAACGAATGCAGGAGCGTCGCATTTTTACGGCTCCATTCATGTGACGACGGAAGTGTCAAGTGGCTGTTGGCAACTCGTCGTCGACGAGCAAAACTTCCCAGCCCCCAAAAAAGAAGGCCACCCAACCACCTACTTTTCCGGGGCGTCCTTTTCGTCAACGTCGCCTCTGTGCATCGAAAATGCCGTTATTGTTGCCAGTTGTCTACATGCTCTATGCTCCCATGTACATCACATCACATCAGATCCCCCTGCCCCCCCGTTGCTTGCCCCACTGCTACCACGGGCTCCTCCGAAACCCTTCCTCAAATGTCTACTACGTGTGCCCAAGTTGCATTCTCGCTCTCTTTCACACCCTCTATCCCCGTCTCTTTCGCCGCACTGACGTCTGTCGTCGAGTGGGCAAACTTTTTAGCGTATGAATGTGTATGTTTCGTTTTTCACCATTTTTTTTCTCACATTTTCCCCCATTTTTAGCATTTTTTTGTGTGTACTTTGCTTCATTTTTACTGTGCCCTTCATTTAGCCGGCTTTGTTCTTTTTGGGGTACAGTTGTGCTTGTGGGGTTAAGTAGCCTCTGCCTCAGACGAATAAGTAGCTACAGATGCCGGATCCGAAAGTTGTCGTCTGCACTTTTTGAAATAGGCAGTGAAAGGCCCTAAGATGTCAGACTGGGGGTTTGGGAGCCATAAAAGAAATTATTCAGTCAAGACTTGTTGAAAACGGTATAGGTTCTTGGCACAATTTTCTTATAAAATCTCAACTTAAATCTTTGTAAGTCTTACAAATCTCTGGAAGCTGTTCTAGGAAAAACATAATACCAAATTTCCGTTGAAAGAAACCAGAGTCATAACATCCCAGAAGTCTTATCGAATAAGCTTTTTACCATAATTCTTTTAATTGCATTACGCACAACTGCAAGTTTACAATTCCCTAAAATAAAACCGAACAACAAAACTTCCCAGAAAGTCACAGTAGTTAATGGCATTTAGCCATCAACCCTTTGTCCATCCTCCAGGAACAGAACTCCATGTTTCGGCACCCACTTCTGCTGAAAATTCCATGACAGCTGTCTAATTTGTCGCCGTAATTTGCGTTGACAAGTTGATTGTCCCGCTCATGGCAGCCACTCCCTAATTGCAGTTAGCCACTTACATAACCAGCAATGATAGACCCGATTACATGATTACACTGGCTGACTGCCTGACTGGCTGGCTGGTTGATATTCACTTGGACCGGCAGAGTCCCGACCAAAATCCACGAAGCTTTCGCTTTCGATGCTCGCTTTCTGGCCTAGCGCATCCTCTGGCTGTTGGCCATTTGCATTGCACTGCAGACTGCGTCTGCCTCTCTAATGAAATTCTGTGCTGCCACTCTCCGACCTTCACCGGAGGCTCTCCCTCCGTGCATCTGCGCTTTTTGGCCAAACAAAACGCCCAAAACAGCGTCCGTTCGTGGCCATGGTCATGACCAGGCTGCCTCGGCCTGTCCCACTCTGTCTGGCTGCCTCTCGCTTGTTATTTTTGGCATCAGCAGCATCAGCATGGAAACGAAACGTGCCGCCTGCCAGACTGCATTTCCCGGCTCTGGCCGCGTGCCACCAGCTGCCTGTTGCCTGCTGGCTGTACACTGCGAGAATTTGGAGGTGCAACAAGATATGAAAATTTTTGGATGCTAAAAAATTATTCATTTATTTTTTTTCTGGATATGTGATTATTTACATAACAAATAAATTCACAATGAGATCATTGGTTTTTAATATACAAAAATTACACCTTCAGCTCAAAAAGGTTTTATATACAATTTAATAAATGCCCCACTATGTTTTTCCCCTTGTGTACTTTTATCTGTGGCATTGGGGCGATGCCGGGCACTGGAGGAGTTGGACTCGGATTTGTGTGGCACTGCATCCTCTGGCGATGGCGGTGGCGGTGGCGATGGAGTGCCGCAGGAGGTGGTGGCGGTGGTTTTGGCATTGACATTGGCGGCGTAAGTGTGGCACCAGGCAGGCACACTTCGTAGCGGTTGTATTTTTGGCTTGCTGCATGACGCCACGCCACACTTGCATGCCACACTGCGTATACGTAATGCGTCGCTCTATTTTCGCGTGTGCTCGAATCCAATGAGTTCATTGAAACAGCATGAATGGAGATTACGGCATAATGGTTAAGTTTGATCCTCGACGTCGCGTTAAAAAGTTTTGAAGAGATTTTCAAGTCGGGCTGAATGTCCTCAGAACTTGTGCATTTCAACTTAGACACTCCACAACTTTCCGCATGAAGTTGTTTTCGCTCTCGAACGGCGTATCTATTCCCATTTTTAATCTCACTCTCCTTACGATAATATGCACAATTTTTTCCAATGTCTGGCCAAAAACCGTCCACATGGCTTGTCTAGTTTTTTTTTCGTTTTTCGTTATTCCGTCTGTCTTTCGGCTTACTTCCCCGAACCCAAGCGAACCATTCGATTTACATGCTCCGATACTTTGCGATTCTCCGTCTCCGTCTCCGACTAGCAACTCCATCTCTGGCGCATGGGTATTTTTGCGCTGGTCTTTCTTATTTTTTTTGCCCTCTGCTTTTTGCTCGTTTGCATATTAAAATTTCATATATGAATTTTTGCTTTATTAATATATCTTGCAGTTATTTTCGTTGGTTGGCTACGGGTTAGTTGGGTTCTTGCTCCATTTGCCCCATCAAACTGCATGCTGAAATTAAATTTCATTTGTGTCTTCGCAGCTTAGCGAGCAGAACCTGCCGAAGAGGATGGGAGAAGAGCGTTGCGGTTCTGGGCTTTGCATCTAGTTGGGATGTGGACGTGGATGTGGATGTGGATATGGGTCTGGATCCGGGTCTTAGCCAGCGCGAATTATT